TCAGGGCAATCATCAAGTTTTGTGTAGGAATAGAAAAGACAACACTGGAGACGTGTAAAATGATTCAAGCATCTAGTACAACAAGGAAATGCTGTAGATCGCTTGTATTAAGATGGCACGACATGTCCGAAACAGAAGAGAGTCAATAGATGATGGATTTCCGAGATTTTCTGGAAACGAAAGCACAGCTGCGTGGTCGACGCTTTGATTTCGGGTTGGAATTACAAATTGAAACCCAGAGAATAGTTTCGTCATCCGACAACATCTGGTACGAGGACACGTACGACAAATGGGTCTAGAGGCATAGAAAATGTATCGCTGTGAATGGAGATTACGCCGAGAAGTAACTTTGACGTTAACATATTTAGCACTGACTTGACGTTAGCGTGCTCTGGATATGCTTCGGTGTATGTTTTGTTTTATTTTTAATTTATTTATTGTTTAATGTATTTCATTGTAATTTTTACAGCTGGCTGTAAAAGAATTAATTATTTTTATGGTGTTCTTCTTGTTTTGCAATTCCTATTATTTATCAAACTACAGCAAAAGTCCTTAAACTTCCCGAACACCCCTAGTATAATTGATACTGTCCGCCTTGTCCCACGGTCCGCCTCGTCCTACTACCTTCATGTCGACGAGACTGAATGGAAGAGAATTGTGTTTTTGTGCTAAATATGAAGAAAAATGTAATGAAATAGGCTCGAAACACCAAACAAACAATTTCACCACGTGTAGTTGTTTGACATTTCTTTGACAATCAGCAATCAATGAAAAGAATCTCGGTCAAACTAAAGAAAAAATGCACTATTGTAATAAGTATATTTCTAAATCATTTTAAGAACGCACAAAATAAAAAGACCGGAGCTTTATATATACATAATAATATATTTAAATGTATTTGGGATAGACAGCTTTTTTGATTTGGCCAATGCAATTAAAATAAATTAAATCAATTAATATTCTTACGAGGGGTACGTAGGTCAATATGTTATAAAATTTATGCACTATGCAGTATAATTTATCTCGTAATTATTGTGTTTGGTTAAACTATGCTACTATATGCTTCAAAGTATCTATGATATCAAAATCATGTGTGTCATCAACTGCATGATAAAGAATTTTATTCACCTTTAATAATATCTGCGTGAATAATTTCATGTATAATAGGACAGACAAACGCTCATTTATTTAAAAGTACCGAAATACGGGATTACATAGGCAAAACTAGGAAAATCCCCTATCAAGCTTTTCATTGACAAAGATGCCGGGCTTTTAATTACCCAGATAGCCCATATCACAAGAATACCAAAAGTTTCAACTCATACGATTTAGAAGAATCTTTTGAAAGTTGGGCGAATAACACCCAGAAGGATACCCCATTTGCTAACATCCGACCAGAAGAAGCAAGTTAAATGCGCTCGAAAATTTCTAAAAATGTTTCATAAATATGACAATCGCCGTTTTTTCTATTATTGTGATTGGCGATGAAAGCTGGTTTCACTATTTTTGCACCAGTTCGCAAATGTAGCAAAAAGATTTTGGCCACCAAAGATGTTCGTCGACTAGACATTGCAATTGCATTTTCAATTATTGAAAAGTATACCTAAGGTGAATTAAAGCATTTAAAAATTAGAAATAACGTCTTGAACTTTGTATTTCTGTAGGAGGAGATTATTTTGGAGGGTTTAAATGTAAGATAAATATTTCCTCTTTTGTTTAATTGATTGACCAAATTGAATTGCATATTGACCCACCCGTAGTTTACTCAGACATATCTGACAATCAGTCGGAATCAGAGCACATTTTTTTTTTAATTTGGGTATACTGGTATGGTTTAAACGTTGCAACAGTTACTTAGTAATTTAAGTTATGTATGGAATTACCGTCCTGGCATAATCTATGGGTTTAATATATTTTAGAATCATCATCATTGTTACATAATTTTTCCTCCTCATTTTATCACTTAATTTGTTTAACTACAAATATATCAGCCATTTCCGTCAATAATAGCACACAATAGTAAGGATAAAGAGAACGGATACAGTATTTCGATCTAACTTACGATAACAATAAACATTTAATTTTGCGATTTGCTGAAAATGTTATCGCGTACAAGTCCACTTAAGTACATAATTATACAGATATATATGTAATAATTAGTACATTATTTATATACTAATACGTTTTAGAAGCTGAAAATACAAATTTTACCCCTTCGTATCATATTTCAGATTTGGTTACAACAGGGAAAAACTGTAATGGTAGATTACAATTTTCCCCTGTTGTAACCAAATCTGGTTATAATTAGCTAGCATTCTAAATTTGATTTTTAATGGTCAGAAATGTTTTTACTGACATTGACTCTGTTCTCCGTTGGATGTCAAATAAATACCTTCGTTACTTACCATGCAAAGATTACACTATTTGTTTTTATTTACATGTCACGTGGTAAAACTATTATAATCGTCGAGGTGTTACTTTTACTGAATATGCGTTCCGAGGAGACCCGCAAAGTGGGCGGTATCGAGGCTCATATGTTGCGGTTCGGACAGGATTATCCGTTCCGAGGGACCCGCCCATTGGGCGGTAACGAGGCTTGCCCATTGGGCGGGTTCCCCTGGGGACAGATATATTCCGGTCCGAACTGCAAACATATGTCAGATATTTTTTCTTGCATATTCTACCATATTCCATTATATCTTAAACTTTTTACCTTAATAAAACAATTTTCCATGGAAATTTATGTCATTACACCCGTAACTATTTTCTTACAACAGCGTATGAAATTTCAACTTAATTCATAACGGTAAAATTACGTCATCCTAAGCGTGCCATTGTACAGCACGCGACTCATCTGGCTACCCCATGCCAGATGAAATTTCCGGCATGGGTAAAACTAACGGAAACGCCAGTCTGATATGCAAGATGTGTATTGATATGACGTATACTGTACGTTGTAACTAATAGCTTATGCTTCAACGTAAACTGTTCCAGAGATTGTTGATATATAGAGCGCATGTCCACATCTAGATCTCTTAATGCATAAATATTGATCTAATGTTCCATCCATTCCTTGACGATTCAAAACAAGGATATTTGCATATGATTCATACAAGCACTGGTTATTATAGTGTTCGGATGTTTTTATGACTTTTTTCTACAACGTAATGTTCAGCGTTTGACACACACAAGACAACAACAAAAATCTCATAAGGAGACTGCATCACTTGACAAGACATGCATGGGTAACTATCAAGGAAATAATTATGTAGAAAGGTCGAATAGTTCTAAAAATAGTTTACATTAACAAAATTATTCGGAATCAGAAAACTCACCATTCGATTTCTCACAAGTGCATATGGATATGTACTGCTGGAAACTCAACTATTTAAGGTAGATCCCATTTATCTCTATCTGCAAAAGCGCTCCATCGTGAAATTCTTGTACAAAACGTGCTTTACAGTACTTGGAAATCGTGTTAAACAGGAAGTATATTATCTTTAGACGTTTTTCAACTACTGAACAAGGTGTATGTACATACATGTTGTATCTGGTTTATATAGTTGTATTTTCAGGAACAAAATGTTTCGAAACGGCCAAAAAGTTTGAAATATTAACACGAAACCACTCGCGGTTTCAGCGAACTAAAATGAAGTATTGATATGTTAAGTCAACTATCTAAATCAGTAAATGAATACAAATAAATTATTGGTAACACATCGGAGGAAGAATATTGTAGTAAATAATACTCTTAGAAAACATGATTTTCTTGTACAAACTTTAACTCAAATTTCATATTTGACAGTCAAGGTAAAGGTCATTTAAAGATCAAGGTCATATTTGAATACATCATGATGTCAGTTTTGTCATAAGTGTTCTTTTGTCCAAGAATGAATCAAATTCACGAATAAATAATATAGTTATGACAATTTAAGACAATTTCAATAATTAGACTTCTACGGTTAAGGTCAAATAAAGGTCAAGGTCATATATGAATTATTCAAAATGTCAATTTTGTCATATGTATTATAAATCAAATTTGTAAATAATAATAAGGTCAAAATCATATATGAATTATTCAATTTACAGGTTTTGTCATAAAGATTCTTTTGTCCAAGTATAAAATATGTATGTAAAGTGACCTGAATATCATATTTAAATAACTTAACATGCCAGTTTGTTAAAAGTGTTTTTGTCCATTACCATGTATAAATCAAATAAATAAATGAATAACAAAGTTATGGCCAACTGTAGCAAAATTCGCTCATTTGACCTTTGATGTCAAGGTCAAATTAAGGCCTGAGCTAAGTTCAATCAAATCTTTTAACTTCTTGTGCCAGGAATTATTGTGTCAAAGAATGAAGACAATCCATTCAATACTCAAGTAATAGCAAAATAACTGTAAAAATACAATAATTATAATTTGACCTTTAAGATGAAGGTCATTTTTGAGTCAAGGTCATATTGAGTTTGATCCTTTTGTTAGACATTTGCCCTTAAGGTATCTGTGCTTAATTTTGAAGAATAACACTGTTACAGTCAATTGTAGCAAAAATCTAGCAAACTCATTATTTGGCCTCACGGTCAAGGTCATTGATGACTGACAGTCATAATCTTTTTGGTCTTCTTGATTGTCTTGTATTAAACGATTGGTGTGTCTAAGTATTAAGATAATAACTAATAAAATTATAGCTAATTATAACAAAATCAAGCAAAATGCAAATATTTGACCATGTAGGTCAAGGTAATTTATGTGTTAAGATCAGGTTTAGCCAGGTCTACTTGAAAGTCGTGTCTAAATAATTTATATGTGTTTAAGTATCAAAACAATCCATTTATAAATAAAATAATGACCACAAGCTGTTATAGTTTCTTGGCGGCAACGAAAATATGAACAGAAACCAACGACATGTCTGAAGCAAAAGCTCTATTTTTTCTTGAAAAAGTCAGGCTAAAAACAAATACTCAACATTTTTTACATTATTGTTCTTTTACAATTAATCATTCATATTACATAAGTAAAGATATGGTGTAACAATCTTAAATAATACAATTTGGAATGACATCAATTTGGACTATAGTAAAATTCATCATTTAAAGTAAATCAGTACTGTCAATGAATATCTATATAAGCAAAGAATATCGTCGAAAAAGGGCATTTATCACATTTTAAACAAGTGAAACGATAACAATGCAAGCATACATATATAAAGTATACAAGCGTATCAGATAACCAGTTTTAATACATGTATTTTATGAAGTTTTCTCTTAGTTTTGATACCGATTACCTCCCATTTACCGTATTAGATACATGTATTCTAAACTCGATTATACTGGTAATTGTGAACACGTTTCTTAAGTGACAGGATGCTTATTTTTTTCACTGTCAAGTCAAGTTGAATTTGTAATTCAAAACAAAAGATTGGCAATTATCATGGAGAATGACCAATAATTGATTACGAAAAATGTTTATGATACAATGTCAGAAATGAGCATTACCAATAAATAAATTCTGAAAAATATTTACAGACATTTCTCTTCTTCACGTGGATTATTATTTTTTCATTGTTAAATATAAAATTGAATACAATTATGGCAAAAAAATGCCCCTCACCGCTGTGGGTTCGAATCCCGACAGGGACTTTGGATTCTTTCATGTGAGGAAGCTATCCAGCTAGCTTATGGAACGTCGGTGGTTCTACCCAGGTGCCCGTTCGTGTCTGAAATAATTCACGAAGGGCATTTGATGTCTTCCTACACCAGTAAAGCTAGAACGTCGCCAAATTACCTATACTGTGTCGGTGTGACGTAAAACGCAATCAAACAAAACAATTATGGCAAAATGTCAAGTTATTTTTATATTGACTTGTTCACTGACTATTTACGGTTGGATGGGCATAATGTCACTTTAAACACACATAAACACCGGGTCTTTATAAACTTGATCATAATATAAGTTTAAAAATGTGTGTTTTAAGTACAACAGACACAAACAAGTATATTTAAAATATTGTTCTAATCTATAAATAGAATACCATGAAAATGATCGGGATTATCGATCTACTGATAAATTTAAAGTTTGCAAAGACCGAGTTTCTATTAACGAGATGCTTAGCCTAAGAAGTTTAAAGATGCCTTTAAAATTTGGCTTGTTTTAACAATTTTGGCCTCAACACCAAGTTCCGTGTCCCCGTATTTCATCTTCACCAGAATGTTGCGGTCCTCATACTTTTCGATATCAGACATGTCTACATCTAACTTTCCAATATTTGTACACCCACTTTCATCAACAAACAACGGGTTCGTTTTATCTGAGGTGTAAACATTAAGTGCAATCTTTGTTTGAGATCTTGTAGATGGAACGTATGATTTTTCCCCAAACTCCTCGCCAATCTGTACTTCCTGTCCTTCTGTAACATGTATATCAAAACAATAATCACATTTCTCTACACCATCTAAAATAACTTTCTTCGATTCAGGATGAATATTTCGATCGAAAGTCTTATACATACGAATGCCATACGTATACTTTGCTGCCCTGGAAACGATGGCCTTAGGATTATGACCAAAGATAACCGCCCCTTTCAGAACAGCTAGTCCCGCATCTTCCGGTATTATTATCCTCATTCCGGGGAAGTTGTCTCTTATGTAACGCTGTAGCATCATCGATTCAGAGAATCCACCGACCATCAAAATAGCTTCAGTACCACTGACCTGAGGCTTGCTAAATATGTCCTTGAGATGACTGACAATTTTATCGCAGGTCTTTTCGAACATTTGTTCAACTTGCCTCGGCTGAACACGTAACTTATCTCCGGTGAATGTTATCTGGTCTTGGAGATCTTGCTTCATCATCAAGCTACGTCTAGAAACAAATAGTTAAAATATGAGCAACGTTAAATAGGAGAACCAATAAAACATGTTTTACAGATAAACTTTCTATATTCATTCAGTCCTACAGCACATAAAAACTGAAAAGGCTTGCACATTTGGATAATGTTTGGATTTGTATATAAAATAGTGTAATAAAAGAGAAGATTAACAAGTGATTTAGAAAATAAACAGCAAACGTCTAGATAAATAGGGTTTTAACCCTTAAAACGTTGGAGAATGATCAACTTTATGAAATAGATAATTATTTATAAACTGTTTCTAGAGTGGTTTTTAAAATGCATACTACTGAAAGAATAATTCATATATGAATAGTACAAATTGTACAGTAAATTTACCTGAAATCCCCTCCTCTAGCAATACGATAAGTTTCATGAATCGTCACCGGTAGTCTGAATGTTATTCTTTGTCCAGCATGTAGATCAGAACCAAATGTTTTCTTTTTAATCTCAAACTCTCGGAATAAGCTTAGATAATCCTCCTTGTGGTCCCTGAATTACAGAAAAACAACATATTAATTAACGCCGTTCTCCATCTTACACAATGTTTAACTCTTCTTTACAGACACTAGTAAGTAAGTAACGACTTTATTTTAATGAGGCAACACAGTTGGGCAAGCCCAGTCTTCCCTATGAGATTCAAGGTTTACAAAAATCCATATAGTATTTTGAATAACAAACAATAACAAACGTACTTCATAAATATTTCCATGGTGTCTACTCCCGCCACGTCTTCGAGGAAAGCTTGAAAAGCTTCATCAATTTTAGTTCCTCCCCACGGTCCACCATTGGCTTTGTACAATTCTCTTATAGTACCATCTGGCTGAGTCTCGTGTACGGTTATATCTACAGTTCCACCTGGTAACCATAGAAACATATTTAAATAATTAAATATGCAATCATAATGTTAAAATATCTCGCTAAATTGTAGATTACATATATATGTACGAAAGTTTCTAATATCATAGAAAATAAGATTATATTGTTTAGACTTTAAGTTTATACCCTTTTTAAATGTCACGTCCTTAATTTATTGAAAATTAATTATTATAGTCATGTGCTCGAGAAAGGACGAGGTATCGGCATCTATATTACATACAATCAAGGACAAGGTATTCCTTATACAGTGCTTATATAACATACCACTGGCATCAAGGACGAGATATTTCTTATACAGTGTTAATATAACATAGGACAAGATATTTCTTATATATAGTGTTTATATAACATACCACCGGCATCAAGGACGGGATATTTCTTATACAGTGTTAATATAACATAGGTCAAGGTATTTCTTATATATAGTGTTTATATAACATAGGACAAGGTATTTCTAATATATAGTGTTTATATAACATACCACTGGCATCAAGGACGGGATATTTCTTATACAGTGTTAATATAACATAGGACAAGATATTTCTTATATATAGTGTTTATATAACATACCACCGGCATCAAGGACGGGATATTTCTTATACAGTGTTAATATAACATAGGTCAAGGTATTTCTTATATATAGTGTTTATATAACATAGGACAAGGTATTTCTTATATACAGTGTTTATATAACATAGGTCAAGGTATTTCTTATATATAGTGTTTATATAACATACCACCAGCATCAAGGGCGAGATATTTCTTATACAGTGTTAATATAACATAGGACAAGATATTTCTTATATAGTGTTAATATAACATAGGACAAGGTATTTCTTATATATAGTGTTTATATAACATAGGACAAGGTATTTCTTATATACAGTGTTAATATAACATAGGTCAAGGTATTTCTTATATATAGTGTTTATATAACATACCACCAGCATCAAGGGCGAGATATTTCTTATACAGTGTTAATATAACATAGGACAAGATATTTCTTATAAAGTGTTAATATAACATAGGACAAGGTATTTCTTATATATAGTGTTTATATAACATACCACTGGCATCAAGGACGGGATATTTCTTATACAGTGTTAATATAACATAGGTCAAGGTATTTCTTATATATAGTGTTTATATAACATACCACCAGCATCAAGGGCGAGATATTTCTTATACAGTGTTAATATAACATAGGACAAGATATTTCTTATAAAGTGTTAATATAACATAGGACAAGGTATTTCTTATAAATAGTGTTTATATAACATACCACCGGCATCAAGGACGATATATTTCTTATATAGTGTTAATATAACATAGGTCAAGGTATTTCTTATATATAGTGTTTATATAACATACCACCAGCATCAAGGGCGAGATATTTCTTATACAGTGTTAATATAACATAGGACGATATATTTCTTATATAGTGTTAATATAACATAGGACAAGATATTTCTTATAAAGTTTTTGTATAACATACCACCGGCATCAAGGACGAGGTATTTCTTGCCCGGGGCAAAGCTAGATATTCTGCTTTCTCCGTCATTTCCCTCAACTTTCTCTACAGGAAGATATTTACAGAATAAACTAGCAGCTTCAGGTTCAAGTGCTAATGATAAGTGTTTTGTATCAATCCCAGCCTGTAATATAAACAAAATAAATCAAATGACACACCAGCCTCCCTTTCATCGTATTTGTCACTAACATAATACGGAAATTTCTATCCGTTGAAGCGTATTTGCGCTTCAAGATTTGCGTGTAAATTAGCGAGAAAATTTATAGGTATATAATAAATAATATTATACTTAAGTTAATGTTACTATCAAAATGTAGTATTTTTTGTATTTGTGTATATGCATATATTCTATTTTAATGTTAGATCTATAGATATCTTTATCATATCAATGAAGCATTACCGGTGTGTAGGAACACTTTTATAACTTCCTGCGATTGTTAAAATATGATACAAGTTGAATTGTTTAATATAAAATACAGTGATCGGAAGTAAATAGTGCTTGAAATCACAATAACCCATTCCAATTGAAATAAATAGGTTTGTAGTAAATGATAAAGTGATTCCGTTTCTACACAGTGACTTCGTAGAAGTAGTGAGTTCGTAGAAGGTCATTACTTCAAGATAATAACATTATATTTCAATAACAGCTTTCCGTTTGTTTTGGATGTATCATATTTCAGTCATAAATTAGACAATATTATATCGTTTTCCTACGCTATAAAGAAAGACTATATCAATAGGCCTTTGTTAGTATATACATATACATTGTACCTCTATTGCCGCTTCTCTCATGAACTGTTTGGCGGAGTCGTTCCAAATGGCTGGTACAGTCAGCACCCAGTGGACTTCCTCAAATCGTAGTCCAACACCCTTTTCTTCGCTCGTCATGATAAGATGATCTTTAAGATAACGTATCCCCTCGCTGAATACTTTCATTGCTGATAGTGTTAGTCCTTTGTCATCTTTTAGCTTTATATCTCTTGTCAACTTCTTAAAAAGTAAATATCCTATGACTGAATGATAAAGCAACTTATGAAATCGTAAAATGAATTGAGCCGCGTCACGACAAAACCAACATAGTGCGTTTGCGACCAGCATAGATCCAGACCAGCCTGCGCACCCGCGCAGTACGTCTGATCAGGATCCGTGCTGTTCGCTTACCAACCCTATTACAAGTAGAGAAACTGATAGCGAACAGCATGGATCCTGATCAGACTGCGCGGAGGCGCAGGCTGGTCTGGATCAATGCTGGTCGCAAACGCACTATGTTGGTTTTGTCATGACGCGGCTCAAATACCCTATGACTGAATGATAAAGCAACTTATGAAATCGTAAAATGAATTCTATTTTAAACTTAAAGAAGTAAAGTTTTTGTTCGTTAGTCATTTGGAGTTACACATACAAGAGTCATGGTGGTTGTCTTGCATACCTTGTAAGGGAAGATCACACTCCATTTACTTGATTAATTGAGACCTGGGCAGACACTCAAATTAACTCGCTGTCTTCAGCGGTCAAGAAATGTCAGCAAGTTATAGGCTAGTTGAACAATTCCTTTAAATACTTTTAGCACAATCTAGTATGCATTAGAATAATTGTATAAGAATAAAAGGAACTCAAATAAGGTCCAAAAGCGTAAAACATAAAAAAATTAATTTCTAACTAAAATATTTTAACAACATGACACGTTTAAAGAAATTGTGTTTAACAGTTTAAATTTTGCCTATATGTCTATATATGAAAATATAAAACGGAAAGATATGCAAAAGATAATTAAGAAATAAGTGCAGAAATAATTTGAAAACTTTATTTGTGTGCTATTCTCCGCTTGATTTGAGTGAAAAGCGTTGCAACGCTTTTTAATTTTTCACAATTAGAATAATTATTCTGCATGGAAAAATGTAATGAGGGAATGATCTGAAATTTTGCAGACAAGTTATTGGCATTGACCTACAACAAAAGGCACATTCATCTAAAACATATTTCGAGTGTCGTGATATATAAAAAAAAAACATCAGAAGAGTCCCTTTAATTTCCGCTCGATTGTATCAAGCTTACATCTCTTAAAAGACCGCTACATTTACCCGGAAAAAAAACTAGCAATCATGGTTAACGGTTTCAGAAGCAAACATCGTCATATAAACACACCCACCAAACCACCACTTAACGAAGACATGAGTGAAAAAACTTATAACATACGTAAATACTGTATTATCATAATTCATAGAAAACTGTTAAATACCTTTTGTTCGTACAAGAGCATTTTAAATCGTTTGAAATAAAACCATTTGAAATGATTTTCATCTGCTGCAAGGTCAGCGTATTTGTCTTCAGCCTCAAATCCAAAACTATGGAAGTTTCCCTCTGGGTCAAATAAGATACATGATGGTGTTTTCAGGGATACAGCGCTTGAAGAACTGACCAACCAATTGTTGGTGATAATCTTCAAAGGGTCCTCTTTGAAGTCACCTAGAAATGAGAAGGCGTATCCAGAGTAAGTTGTTCCAAAGTCAATGGCTGCAACTTGCAGACGATCCTGGACTGCTTCAGCTATTACTGGTACAGAACACATAGTTGATTTATTAATATTGTTCTGCAAGAAATAAACAAATAACAGTAATAAACAGACTGCATTATATAGAATGATGCGGCCATTTTATTCCACGTGTGAAAATAATAACGAAAATTATACATTTTTAAGTACATATTATAACTGATTTCTATTGAACGACTGCACAGCGGTTTAACCTATAATGGACAAGACTTGCTACTGCGCACCAGTCCAATAATGTCCATATTGTATTAAACAATGTATAAATACATCTTTACTTCTCACCAGCAATATTTTTAACATTTTGACAGACCTTTGATTTTTTGATAGTGATATATATGAATTTGAAGTAAAAACTTTGTTAGACCGATTTCAATATGGATTTACTTGTTATGAATGATTTGGACCGTAAATTGAAAACGAGGCTAGATATAGGGTACAATATGAATTTGATAAAGATATGAAGGACTCGGAAAATGAAAACGAAGCTAAATCGATAAAATTAGATCTTATCATGATTTGTATAAGAAAAGCACATGATGTAAAGTTCATTGATTTAATAAGGTGTGAAATTAAAAAAAAACTGATGATTATTATACACGGAAAACAAGGACAGTTTTGTGAAAAATAGAGATATAAGAAGGCTACTATAATGTTGATAGTTTAAAAGTAAATAAAGTAGATCTACAAAATATAGATGTACATGATATAAAGTTGAACTGATATACAGTTTATATGGGCGGCCACATACCGTGATGCTTAAAATATCTACGAATCCGCAGGGAAAAGGACGAACATATTTACTTTATATCAAAATATATACATGAAAATATCCTGTCATTTAAATAAATTGTTTTTAAAGTAAAATTACATACAGTGTATGGTTCTACTATATGCACATTTTTAATTTTACGTACTAAAATTATTAAAATATATGTAGATCTACACAAAACTAGAAGAAGAAAATAAAAAATGAAACGGATACATGGCAAGTTGGCAACTAAAGAATTCGGCCCATGGGCAATGGCTATTGTTGGAGAATTGTCATTGTGTTAATATTGACCATTTAATAATAGCAATACATGTACTGTATAGCGGTTAAACTTAATCTGTTTTAAAAGATCGGACCAGTATAAACTGTTATGTGCTTATTTAACAACAGGCCATTAAGGTGATTCCGCTTTGTCAGCCATGTTTGTTTTCACAAAGTCTGTCCAAAGTGAAAGTAGGCCAAAATTCATATGACAACAAAGCTCACATTGTTATATGATGAGCCATTTGCAAGTACAATTCCAGTTCTATGTTTTAAAGACAATTATAAACAAAAATAAAAATGATAACAATAAGAATATTTACCTTGAATGTGCCACATTTCTGAAGACCAAAAACATTTTGTTGCAAAGTTTAATGCACATTTCATGAATGGCAAAATCCTTTTTAAAGTCTTTTTTAGTGCCTACAAAAGCTATTTTTTGCATAAAATACAAAAAACTTTAAAAAACATGAATCTTAGGAAAGTAGTTTATCTGACCTTGAAAAAACATGGCCACCATGACATGTGTAAAAAAAGTAGTACCATGAAAATAAACATCATTTACCTATTACTTGTGTACATGACAAACAGACACACTTCACTGTTACACATAAAAAAGGTTAGATTTTAAAGTTTGATTGTGTTTTCATTTCAATTGTAGTTCATAAGGCTATAAATGATGATTGTTTTCTTGCACTACTTTTCTACAAAAAATAATGGAGGCCATGTGCTTAGAAGGACATAAGATAGGGATTTATTTGGAGTTAAGTTTTGAAAGATTTTTGTATTTGCTGCAAAAAATAGCTTTTGTAGGCACTAAAACAGACTTTAAAAAGGGTTTTGCCATTCATGAAATATGCATAAAACTTTGCAACAAAATGTTTTTGGTCTTCAGAAATGTGGCACATTCAAGGTAAATATTCTTATTGTTATCATTTTTATTTTTGTTTATAATTGTCCTTAAAGTATAAAGCTGGAAGTGTACTTTCAAATGGTTCATCATTTAACAATGTGAGCTTTGTTGTTATATGAATTTTGGCCTACTTTCACTTTGGACATACTTTGTGAAAACAAACATGGCTGACAAAGCGGAATCACCTTAAAGTATAAAATTTATCTTCCAGGTCAAATTTTTTAAAAGTAACGTTACTCAAGTTATTCTGTGTACAGTATCTCAAATTTCAGAGGTATGTATATAATTACAGATTATATTATATGCGTATATTAGTTTGCGAGAGTGCAATGCTTTAGATAAAAGAATGAGAAAATGGTACTTACGATAATTGATCCTTCTCCAACTTTCGTTTTTAAATCAAACCGCTATGAACGGAGTTTCCATTTGTGTACTTTCGGTTTCTTTATACATTTAAACATGTATGTAAAACCATATTGGCTTACGATCTCATCTAAATCTTCCCTTAAGTACACTTACTTAAAGAAGATATATTTAAAATTTAGTCAAAAACACATATAAAAGATCTAGTATAAAATTAAACACAATTGCTATTTATAGCTATGTTACTAATAATAGATGATAAACGTCATTTTCTAAAAAGCTGTTCCGTAGCAGTGACACCGATTTATTAAGTGGATGCATTGAATTGAGAGCCATACAGGTTTGGATGGAGTCGTTCATATTGTGTGCATTTCGTAGTTAAAATAAAGGTTTTACCTATTTATAACATATAGGCCTAAAAATGTCACCCCTCATGGCATGCGTTTGAATATAAATTCTTTCAACCTTGATTGCGTAAATGGGACTAATTAGTAAATATACCGACTCAGTATGACTGATTATATATACGGTTGTTCTGCCTTAAAATCCCCAAACTCCAATAAGAGTGTCGCAAGCAGGCTATCCGTTTTTAAACTATGATATGACGTGAACTGCCGCATCAGATGAAAAACAAAAATGTTAAAAAACGGCTTTTAAATTTTTGGAAGCCAGAACTGCCAAGGTGATTAACCTTTTACCTCGAAAAATGGCCGTTTTCATTGAAAAACCTCCTGTTACAAGTTCAAACTGCTATGAAACTATGAAAAATGCTTCAATACTGATGAAACTTGGCACAAATATTGACTGGACCATAGCCTCTGTTTAAAATTCCTGTTACCATTGCAACGGGGGGACGTCTCAAAGTTGCGAAAAATCACTATTTTTTTCATTTTTTTCTCATTTTTTTTTATCAAAACTGATTTCAAAGTGCTGCAACTTCTTAATGGATTGAGATAGACTGTCGCATGTCCGAAATTTTCTTGGCGATGAGGGGGGGATCCCGCCCCTTCAAACCCCAAATAGAATAGGGCCTAAATAGTGCATTGTTTCACTGTTTGAGGCCTCAAAGGGTGGGGGTGAGCCGTCAAAACACGTCTATATGAGGTAAAACGTTAATTAAGTGATAAAACAGTTTGGATAAGACTGTGTGTCTGATAATAATTTATTCAGAAGAGTCTGAAGAATGATAACAATTATACTCCATGTATTTGGTTCGATCTACATTATAGAACAGAACAGAATTTTTATTAACGTATACAATACATGTATCTTGTTAATACAACATCAAATTAAATACATACAATGATAAGCACGTGATAAGCAAACATGTTTTCAGTGTTTCACAGAGAATGAACAAATTATCATAATTGAAATAACTTCAAAGTTGGTGTTTAAAGAACCAGCGCGTTCTGACAATCGTATGTGGTAATTTCATATATTTAAATATAACATATTGAAAAGCATAACTTCGATGTAAACATGTCAAGATAATACTCACTTAAGGAAAAAAAGTAAGAATCTTGATGCATATATTATACGATTTCAAATAATACTGCCTAGTCTAGAAAACTTTTTTATTTCAAACATTTATTAAATTCTTTGCATTAAATCATTTCTAATTTTATTGGCCGAGCTTATGTATTTACTCAGATTGATCAGAACGCCTTTATTATTTGACTGTAGCAATTCTAGAAATTTAAACATACTAGTATGAACATAATAATAACGTTTGATATATTTAGTTCGCAATACTTTATAAGCTTTACATTTAAGTACAAAATGAAATTCATCTTCAATTTCGTTGATATCACATACTTGGCAGATACGTTCCTGTCTTTCCAACCTATTCCGGCCATACCTGGCAGATTCAATTCTTAACTTATGAGCAGATATACGTAATTTCGTGAGACAAATTCTTGAAGATTTACAAGATAACAAATTAAGGTAATTTTCCATACCGAAGCTAGTTTTAACATATGCATATAAAGTATTCAAAACATTATTAACAGCTATATCAGCAAACCATTTTTGTTTAAAACAATCTACAACCTTTTGTTTGAAAATCGGTATAAATGTTTTTACTTCAAATCTTTGTGGACAATTCCAAACATCAGAAAATCCATATTCATTTAGCAAATTTTTAACAAGGTATGCCCAGTTTTTTGTACCATTTAAATTACACTGTTCTAGCGCATTTTGATAAATACCTTTTAAAATAATATTATCTGTATTCATTAACTTAAACCAATACTTAATGATATGAACATATCTGTTAACATATAATGGATAGCGCCCAAGCTCACCATATATTGCAGAATTACATGCGCTCTGTTTTACTCCTAGTATAATTTTACAAAACTTAATATGAATTCTCTCAAGGTCTTTAGATTTAGAGAAACCCCATATTGGACATGCGTAATTCAAAATAGATCCAACAAAAGAATCAAATAGTTGGAGCGAAATAAATGGATTAACATCATATTTATTTATATTATTTACTAAAACTTGCATAGCTTTAAACGATTTGCCTGCAATACATTGATTATTTAAAACAAATGAACCTGTATAATTAAAAACAACTCCTAAATAATTAAAATCGTTTACAACCTCTAAGGGCTCATTGCCATAATTCCATTTCTCCCACATTTTTATCGGTCCCCTTTTCCGAAAAACAACAATTTTTGTTTTAATGGTATTTACCTCGAGACCCCAATAACAACAATATTCGTGTAAAGAATTAAGACTATTTTGGAGATCTTCTCGGGTTTTACCAATTAAAACCATGTCATCGGCAAATAAAAGGATAATTATACTTAAATCGTACAAAGTTATTCCACTATTTATCTCACCTTGTAAGAATAATTCAAGGTCTTCTAAAAATAAAGCAAAAAATGCCGGAGAATTATTTTGCCCCTGCCTTAGACCAATAGAAATTTCAAAAAAGTCAGACAGATTATTACAATGTTTGACACATGATTTAACAACAGAGTACATAGATTTAAACGATTTGAGAATTTTGCCATCTAGACCCATGTGAAAAAGTTTATACCATAAAGCGTTTCTATACACCGAATCAAAGGCTTTCTTAAGATCTACAAAGGCACAGTATAATCTTAAATTACGAGACAATATATCATTTATAAGATTATGTAAAACAAAAATAGCATCTATTGTACTTCGTCCTTTACGAAAGCCAAACTGTGCATCAGATAAAAAACTGTTATCTTCCGCCCACTTATCTACCCTAGCCGTCAGAATACTTGTATATATTTTCCCAAAATTACTAAGTAAAGTTATTCCCCTGTAATTGTTTGGGTCGTTACGATCCCCTTTCTTATGTAAAGGTACTATAAAACCCGAAGACCAAATTTCAGGAAAATATCCGGCATCGAAAACTTTATTAAACATATCGGTAATATGGCCAACAAGAATGTCAAGAGATTCAATAAAATACTCATTCAAAAGATTATCACTTGGACACGAGGCTTTGTTTCTATTTAAGTTTTTTATGGCGTTCCTAACTTCAGTCTGTGATATTGGTATATTTAATTCTTCAAATGTTGGGTTATCGATGTTTAAATTACTTTCTTCGTTAAAAGATTCCACATCATCAATTAATGTGCCTCTTATATCGTTAAACATTTCTGAGAAATAGTTTTTAAAATCATTTAACGGAATGTCTCCCGCAACTGTTGACTTATTCTTTTTAAAGTGTTTCCAAAAATCTCTAGGTTTTGATTTACGTAGATTAATCAATTCCTGTGACTGTTTACAAATAAAGGCACGCTTAGTTTAGCGAACAATATATTTATATGTTTTTTTACGGTCGCACAAAGTTATTCGATTTTCGTATGATTTATTACAGTTAAAATCATGAAGTGCTTGTTTACACATTCAGCATTAAACCACTTATTATCTATATTTAACTTATGCTTATTTAACTCATGTTTATTGTTATAAGTATGCTTGAACAAAGGATCAGCCACATCACAAATAATTTAAAAAAAAATTACAAACCATATTTTCAATACAGACATGTGACAACAAAACTGCATTGTTAGTTACGGTATTAAAATCTGTTAACCGGCCGATAATGCCCCGTTTAAATTGATCGTTTAACTCCGGTTTCCATTTGTGATATGTATGTGAGCTATCATCACTATGCTCGCTCGGACCAACGGGATTACGTGCATTTAATGTAAAAAGTAACGGTGCGTGGTCGCTGTATAAATTAAATTGACCAATTTCAAAGGAGCATATCAAATGAAAATCATTTTCGTTCAAAAGAAGGTAGTCTATTGTACTATTTGCACTGCGACTATAATAAGTAAATGAACCACAATTATAATCTGATCCTAGTAAACCGTTAGCTATGCGCATATTTGTACTTTTACAAAAATCAAGCATTCTTACCCCCCTTGCATTACACAAAGAATCTTGAGAGGCCCTGCATAATGACACATCGGGAATATAATCATTATAGTCAATATCATTAACATTTCGGTCACAGACAACAAAATCATTATACTTGTGAACTATATATATAAGACAGAATTAAATGAATGAATTTGTTTTCAAATAATTTTGAATTTTTTTTTGAAAATAAATTCAAATAATTTTGTTGATGGTTTTGTAGTGATACATTTATTTGGTTCCTGTCACTCATTTCTCATTAAAATGGCTAAATGTGATACTTTTTTCGTGAAGTTAATATATATATATATAGATCTAATTACAAATCACAATAACATTCATACGTTTGAAATCTGAATCATTGGTGGTATGTATTTGACAGAAAGTAAGTAAACAGTTATTTAATTTTAAATTTTGATAGTTCAAATATTAACAAGCTATCACACAGCATGACCATTTTGAATTGAATTAATCAAGGAAATTGAACGAGGCACTTAGTTTTTCACCAGTTTTGGCATTTCGAACTTCAACACCCAACTCCGTTTGTCCATATATCATCTTTACCAGTGCTTTCCGATCCTTGTAATTCTCTATATGAGATACATCCATTGGGAGCTGGCCGAGATACTTGCATTCACGATCTTCAACAAAAACCGGGTTCCGCTGGCTGGATGTGTATATGCTACATACCATAGATGTACTAGATCTTGACGCAGGGTAATATGATTTTTCTTCAAATGTCATCCCTGCCGGAATTTCTTGTCCAACTTCTACGTGCTTACTGAAACAACCTCGACATTTTTGTTTGCCGTCTATTATAACTAAACGTTCGATTGGATGAACATTCGGATCGAAATTTCTGTATACGTTCAGCCCATACGTCTGACGTGCAACTCTTGCTACAATCATGTTTGGATTGTGACCAAATATTACCGCTCCTTTCAAAACTGCCAGTCCGGCCTCCTCCGGTATGATGACCTTCTTTTCCGGAAACGCTTGCTTTACGGCATGTTGCAACATTATAGACTCAGAAAACCCGCCAACCATTAAAATAGTATCGGTGTTCCTAACAGCAGATTTAGAGAAAATTTCTCGAAGATGGGTAACAATTCTTCGGCACGTTTCTGCAAACAATTTCTTCACCTGCTCTGGTTGCACACGCAGCTTATCACCCGTAAAACTGATCTGACCTTTTAAGCTTTGCTTCATTAAGAGACTTCGTCTTTAAAATGAAAATAAAAGAGTAAACTTGGCATTAGACTGTAATTATTTTGCTCACATTACATTAGACTATTGCATAGTTTAGTGATATTTCGTATGAAAATGTGTTTAAATTCATTTATTGTTAAAGGATGTAAAAAGAGGGAGAGTGATACATCTTTAGAGATTTATAATAATCATGGTGTTATGAAGTATGAATCGTATGTGTAACTCGTAATAAAGCCATAATAAATAAAAAAATAACATAGATATACACAGCTGCCTGAAAGAAAATATCATGGATTTTAAGTTAATTACAAATTATTACCGGAAATCTTCTCCATTATGTTGCATTCTGTAAGTCTCGTGTATACAAATTGGAACCTTGAACGTTATTTTCTGGTTACCCTCTATGTCTGGACCGAATGTCTTCTTCTTTATTTCAAACTCTCTAAACAGCTCTAGAAAGTCCTCTTTAAAATCTCTAATGTTAACAAATGAGAAAATGAAAAAAAAAGAATATTGTATCGAAATGCGTTCAAGCGTAAGTCAAACAGATTAAAGTCAGCTCACAAATAACAACAGCTCTGAACTTTAGTGAGATTGATGCAGAATTGAACATTATACTATATATATAATTATAATAATATGACTGTACGAATACAAATTTAAATATTAAAAACACGACATTTTAAAAATAATTACAAATGTATGTTACGTTTTACCTTTCAAAAATTTCGATTGTGTCTTCTCCAGCCACTTCAATGAGAAAGTTGAGAAAAGCTTTATCTATCGTAGTTCCTCCCCACGGTCCTCCATTGGCCTTGTATATCTCTTTTACTGTACTGTCTGGCAGTGTTTCATGAACAGTTATGTCAACCGTTCCTCCTTTAATAAAAAGTCACGTATTGATGATCATAAACACCCTGTAACTCAAATTCTTTTATGGTTTTATAGCTCAAATGAAGATTTATCGATATTGTAAGTTCCACAAAAAAAATTACTAGTAAAGATATTACCGAATTTACATTTCATGTAAATAAAGGGAAGTAATTAGAAATTTATTTTCTATAAAGTCTTAGCCGAATTTTTCAAAAAGAAATGAATGCATATATCTTAATGATTACTTATAATGCGTGTTTACACTTGCAGTAAATATTTAACATATTCTTGTATGTTTGGAAATTGTTTTAGAATAATAATTATGTACATATATAAAATTTCACTTAAGTAATTACAACATACAGGATAAGAAATTAGATACTTTTTTTATCAATATTGTCTTCATAAGTTCAAAAACGAGTATGATATACAAAGAGGATATTCAAGTTTTTTCTTTGATAAACGATGATTTTCGTACCACAAAGGGAAATTAATACTGTATTTATAGAAAAACTTGAATTTTCTGTTTATTGGATACATTTTTCTCTTCTTTGACATTAAAATTTAAAAGAGTCACCCTTAAATTTTAAATATTGGCTGAATTTAGAAGTAAGAGGTCCGACAAGACACCAATGAAAATACGGAAAATATGTTTCACTGCCGTTAAAAATAAATTTGTACAGTGAAAATACGGAAAAGGAAATTCGCATTTTATCCATCAATATATCTCAATATTTTCATTTATAAGTATGTTATAAGTTCTTAAATTGTTTTAGGAAATGATACCACTAATTACCTCCAGCATCCAGTACGAGATATCTCTTTCCTGGAGAAAAACTAGCTATCTTTCCGACACCATCATCACCCTGGACCCTCTCTACCGGAAGGTACCTACAGAATAATGATGCAGCTTCCGGTTCCAGTGCCAACGATAAATTCTGGGTCTCAATACCAGCCTGTAAGAATTTAACATTCATGATATTACAAGCGTATATAACAATTTTCACAGTTGTCTATTTTTACCTTACAGCTTGTAAATCATGTTCGTTTGCCTTTTGCCCTCATACGTTTTTGAAACTGTTATTTTTGTAATTAAAAGCGCAACGAATAACAGGGAATTATATAAACAATCAAAATTATAACAAAACCATCATTCAGTATACGTATGTCCTATATTCAAACGCATTCTCCTATTACTATGAATCCGTTTCAGTTCATCATACAAGTATATTTGCTATAACTACAATGTACGTTTATCAATAGCATGTAAATTTGTCATGTGCTTGACCTCAATAGCTGCTTCCCTCATGAACTGTTTGGCAGAGTCGTCCCATATTGCTGGCACAGTTAAGACCCAGTGAATCTCGCGAACATTTAGTCCTGTTTTCCTCTCCTCACACGTCCTTATGAGATGGTCCTTCAAGTACCGTATGCACTCCGTCACTACCTTCATCGCGGGCATTTCAAGACCTTTGTCATCCTTCAGCTTGATAGTTCTTTTTAAATGCTATATGTAATATATGAAACTTATATTCATGATACATAATATTATGTTAGTCGATACATATAATATATTCTGTTATCTTTCTCGTCTATTTATTTTATCGATAAAATGAAACTATCTATCAAATGCACATCTTAACACAGGTGGCAGTATCAGTGTTTGGACACCCCACCCCTATCTGCCCCTGGACCCCTACTACAACCCTGAAAAAAATAATTCAACACTCTAAGGCTTACTATAAGGTACCAAATACAAAACCACCGATGAAATTATATATATAAAAAAAAATTTTCCACTATCAAAATTATAGTTATAGAAAGGTGAAAAGCCTACTATATGTTCATTTGCCAAACAATGTGGAACACGGGAAATCGTCGTTTCGGCGACTGAGGCGCATTCCGGCGGGATTTCGCTGCATCATTCATTTACATCAATAAAAAGAACTTGAATTCCACAGCTTACTTAATTCAAGTCCAACGAATATCACTATCATTCCGATTTTTTCTGTTTCACGGTATTTTTTGAATTGTCGTAGCCATTTTGCAGTCTGATACCTGGGTTGAAATACGCGATCTGATTGGACGAGCCAAATTGGACGTCCAATCAGATCGCGTATAACACACAGGTATCAGAATCCAAAATGGCAACGACAAGTAAAAAAATACCGTGAAATAGAAAAAATCTATAGAATATTGATATTCGTTAGACTTGAATTAAGTAAGCTGTGGAAGTCAAGTTCTTTTTATTGATGTAAATGCCTTCGGAATGCGCCTCAGTCGCCGAAACGACGATTTCCCGTGTTCCACATTGTTTGGCAAATGAACATATAATAGGCTTTTCACCTTTCTATAACTATAATTTTGATAGTGGAACAATTTTTTTTTTATATAATTTCATCGGTGGTTTTGTATTTGGTACCTTATAGTAAGCCTTAGAGTGTTGAATTATTTTTTTCAGGGTTGTAGTAGGTGTCCAGGGGCAGATAGGGGTGGGATGTCCAAACACTGATACTGCCACCTGTGCATCTTAATAAATCGTCAATAATATAGTGAAACACAAAAGATTGGATACCGTAATTGATTTATCAGAGGTAATTGAAAGAATAGAACTGGTTCAATTAAACCGAACACTCAATGTAATTACCTTTTATAATATATTTTAATAAAAGATGTTTTATATAATATTATGTTACATTTGGTCCAAATAGAAATAGCCCAAAACATGTTAGTACAGGGCGGGTATAAAGTATTTATTTCAGACACTTCAGACATTTTCCTTCAATCTTATATGAACCATTTAACACAAAACCAGTGTCTGTGACTCTAATTAAAGTTTGATGGTTATCAAGCTTCTAAAGAAACTAACCTTATTTTCGTACAGAAGCATCTTGAATCTTTTAAAATAATACCAATTGAAATGTTTTTCGTCTTCAGCCAATTTCGCGTAAGCATCTTCTGCCTCAAATCCGAAACTATGAAAATTTTGATCTGGGTCGAACAGTATACATGACGAGGTTTTCAGAGACACAGCACTGGTTGATCCAGTCTTCCAATTGTTCGTGAAAATCTTTAATGGATTTTCAAGAAATTCGGCACGAAAGGACACCGCATATCCAGAATAGGTTGTACCAAAGTCAATGGCTGCCACTTGAAGACGCTCGTGCAAAGCTGTGGCGACGACAGGTAGAGAAGCAGCCATGGATCAATGTGTGTACTGAAATCAATTTGAAAAATATTGAAGTCAGATTGACGAATATTTCACTTTTTATTTAATTGTGAAAAAGAAAACATAGTCTCTAGACATTTAAAAATCTTTATAACATTTGCCTAATTCTTCCGATATAATTATATTTATTTAGGTTTGACTCATGTCTAAAGTGTTTCATTTATTGTTCTATGTTATTTTCTGAAAATAATTTGTTATCCACAAGCCATCATCATGGTATATGTATAACCAATAGATACATGTTATTACTCGGGTATTTCATACCTATATATGATTATATGTTTGATCAGTTAATAAATTCTAAGAAAAAGAGATATCTCCGTTTTTTAAAAATCTATATTTACCTGTACAGAGTTCCGTTTTTTATCAACAGTCATACAAGAAGAATTCCATGAACTAACATGTTTACTTCCTCTTTCGTTTTCAATGTAAAATAATGTATGACATATGATACCGCTTATCTGGCGTATCTCTATGTTGAAGTAAATATATCATTACTGATCCGATTTATGAATAACTTATTTGAACAACGTAATCAATATAAGTTAAAAGCGGGCTGAGCATTAAAGCAGTTCGTGAAAAACGTGTCAAAAACAATATTATGTTTAAAGTGTCTGTTTAAAACTTTGAGTGCTAACCGATCTATATGTCACTAGTTCAATTCAATTCTTTATTTTCACTCATTTCATATAAACATGACATAATGAGGCAGATACTGATACAAATACATAGTGAGAAATTAAAAAGGGCACATATTTGGCTACTCAATTTAAAGTTTTTATACTGTAACGAGAATTATAACAGAAGAGCGGCGCATGTGCGTGATCATCCTGTTAAAACGTACAATATTCAACAGTGACATATTTTGTTTAATCTCTTCCAAGACACAGCCGAAAGGTTATAAAAACGATATTATTTAACTGTTTTGGAATTTTCATAAGATATTTCATCAGAAATGTACATCATTAATATTATACCCTTTAAAGCAGCATGCCTCCAGATTCATGCTATTTTTCATAAACATTTTGAAAATGTACTTAAAGCAAAATACTGTGAAGTGAACAAAGAAAGTAATTTACACATTGCAAACGGCACATACAAGCCACAAGAATTAAAAATATACATAAACATCCCTTACTGCGTAAGTACGCACTTACCAGCCTTGCGCCTGGCATAGTGGTAGGAGTTGGGAGGTACATGGTATGCAAGCAAAAGGTGTATCATAAGTCAGAAATGGATTGCCCTTTCAATAGGGGTGACACTATGATAAACAAGACCTTTACCTTTTTTACCTTTTGTAAATAATTAATTAAATATTGAATCTTTTTACTTTTCTTAAGATCTAAATACATTTTTCTAAAGATTGAATTTCTGATTGGCTCATCTGGAGGCGTGTAGCTTTAAGTATTCTATGAAATTCCTAAACTTTTGATTGATTGTTCAAATTTTGAAGCAGGAAAAGGAAGGCAATAGTAAAGCATAGTAAAGATTAATCTGTGAAGAGAGATGCGGGATAGTATTCTCCAAGGATTAGGACCACCAATAATTAATGTTTAAAAAAAGTTTAAATTTCAATCTTGCCTTAAATAATACTATGCTCATTTTTGGGTAAAACACTTATTGCAGAAATTTAAGTAAGAATTTCTTACTGAATATGTATTATTGGAATCAAAGAAAGCATATACTATATTTAGAGATTTCAATGTTGCATTTTTGTTCTGCTCAGACGATCTTCCTAGTACTAGTGAATTATTTAAAGGCGCCCGCCAACTTCATTTGTTTATTAAACTTTTTGTAATCATTTTCATTTGCGATGACATGGAGCGGCATATGTTAAATACTGCGCTTCTATACTTTACACAGCAGGCGTAATTTCTCAGTGGCAAAAGATCTCGGATATCAAGTATGTCTAATGGTCAATTGTCTTTCATTTTCATGTGGATCTTGCGGAGAAATTGGTAATTACTGGTATGCTATCAAAGAAAGCCGGATAGGTGTATTGGCCGCCGAGATAATACCAAAAACATGAGCTAAAGCCAGAAAAAAGCAAACACACAAAGAATAGCACAACTTTTAATTACATTCTTCCGGCGTCAATATTCATACCAAGGAAAGTTGAATATTAGTTTCGAAAAGGACGGCATAAGATGATTTAACACAAATAACAACGAAGATAAATCATATTCCTAAGGTCCCTGTTCCCGAAAATCTCACTGGTGAGATGTTATGGCATATAACCTTTTTAGAAAAATATACATTATTTTATTCATACGTTTGCATTTATCTAATAATATAATTTTTTAGATAATGAAAACCCCACTTTGAACAATGGCTTGTTTTGAATCGCACTGATAAAAACGTTTCAACAAGATATGACTTTTTTAAACATGATGATAGACTAATCGATATACATCCCACTGTTTACACTATCAAACATAACTTTATCACATGATTGCCGTCTAGTCAATGTAATAAAATAGCAATATATATGTTATCAACATTTTTAACGGAAAATCCAAAATCTAACTTTAACATACACAAAATTACAATGAATAGCACATACAATGTATATGTAATGAACCTGATTAATACACATCCGTAAACATTAAAGCTCTTTTGAAAACGTAGCAGAATATTAATGTATATCTTTTATTGAATTGATACACATCATCATATTTCAACCGATTACAAATCAGCAAGAAAATGGCCAAACATGTTCTTTAACCAATTTATTTATCAAGCAAAAAATGCAAGATGAAATTATTCTATTCTATCTATCAAAAATGTCACACATAATTATATACATATGCTCATTCTGAAAACCTATTCGGTTTCTTTGACGCTTATCATCCGAGAAAATCGAACGAAGCATTTAACAATTGTCCGGTTTTCAGAACAGTTGCTTCCAAACCTAGCTCTGTATCCCCATATATCATCTTGACCACAAACACTCGGTCTTCATACGCTCGGATTTGTGATACATCAACCACAATATTTCCTAATAGATTACAACCTCTTTCATCAATGAACTTTGGTTTTCTCTGGTCTGATGTATAAACTTTCACATTCACGGACGGTTGGTTTCGAGAGGAAGGTATGTAATTTTTCTCATCAAACTGCATACCAACTGTTACCTCCTGACCGATCTTAACATGTCTGTCGAAGATGTCCGTACATTGCGCTTCACCGTCTATGATTTCCATCTTTGAAGAAGGATGTATACCCTGTTGAAAAGGCACACACACACCGATTCCGTATGTATATCTTGCTACTCTTGAAGCTATGGCTTTGGGACTGTGGCCAAATATCACTGCTCCTTTTAGAACTGCAAGGCCTGCCTCAGCTGGAACAATAATTTTCTTGTCAGGGAATCCATTTCTTACCGCCTCTTGAAGCATCTTAGATTCAGAGAAACCTCCAACCATAAGTATTGTGTCTGTACCATTGACTTTGCCTTCCTTGAATATCTCGCTGAGATGTGCAACTATCTTATCACAGGTCTCGGTGAAGAACTTTTTTATTTGTCCAGATTGTACACGTAGTTTGTCACCTGCAAACGTCACCTGGTCGCGAAGATCATGCTTCATAATCAATGAACGTCTGAAATGATAAAATGATACAGTGATCTTAATTCTTGATCTCAAACATGATATTTGTCACGGTATTTGAATGAATATTCAATAAATTACACATATACATATGTGATATATGTGATTTTGGTTTTAAGTCATATCTGTTAATGGTTAATATTGAAAAAATTAGGAAATCTTTATCACGTTTCAGGACATCATCGCATAGATTAAAAGTAGAAACTGGTAGATGGCATAAACCTGAAGCAATTCCTTATAATGAAAGAAAATGTAATATTTGCTTAAAACTAGAAGATGAATTTCATGTATTATTAGAATGTCCACAATACAATGTTTTGAGAAAACAGCTCATAGATAAATATTATTGGAAAAAACCAAATATACCAAAATTTATTGAAATGTTAACATCTCAAAATGAAAATGTTATAAGAAAATTATCAATGTTTATGGAAAGCCTTGACTGTCTTATAGTTATAAACCTAAACGTTGTTATGTCCATATAGCAATATATTGAGTCAACCTTTCCTTATACAATGTGCACTCATTAATATATTATGTGGATCCATCTTTATATGTAGTCAACTGAACAATATATGATGTCAACGTGCCTTTATATGATGTCAATCTATCATTATACGTTGTGCATTTTTGAATATATTATGTGGAGCCATCCTTATATAAGGTCAAAACAACAATATATAATGTCAATCTGTCCTTATATGATGTGAAGTTATGAATATATTATGTGGAATAATTCTTATATAGAGTCAACATTATATGATGTCAACGCGTCCTTATATGATGTCATTCTATCATTATACGATGTGCATTTTTCAGTATATTATGTGAAACCATCGTTATATAGAGTCAACTTAACAATATATGATGTGAATATGTCCTTATATGATGTCTGTTTTTCATTATATGATGTGCAATTACGAATATATTATGTGGAACCATTCTTATATAGAGTAAAAACAACATTATATTATGTAGAACCGTCTTTATATAGAGTCAACTTAACAATATATGATGTCAACACTTCCTTATATGATGCCAATCTTTCATTATACGATGTGCATTAATAAATATATTATGTGAAACAATCTTTATATAGAGTCAACTTAACATTATATGATGTCAACACGTCCTTATATGATGTCAATCTTTCATTATATGATGTGCAATTACGAATATATTATGTGGAACCATTCTTATATAGAGTCAAAACAACACTATAGTATGTAGAATTTGCCTTTATATAGAGTCAGCTTAACACTATATGATTTAATTTACTTTGAGTTTTCCGCTGTTGCCACGAACGGTGCATAGTGAGATATAACCTTGTAAATTTAACCCCATCAGTATAATGACAGAAGCACACCATATAATGATGTTTGCACTTCATATAAAGCAGCGGTCGTATAACAATAGATGCACATCGTATAATGAAAGATTGACATAATATATTGATAAGTTGACTGTATATAATGATGCAACCACATAATATATTCATAAATGCACATCGTATAATAATAGATGCACATCGTATAATGAAAGATTGACATAATATATTGATAAGTTGACTGTATATAATGATTCTACCACATCATATATTCATAAATGCACAATCGTATAATGATTGGTCGACATCATAAAAGGACCACATTGACATCATATATTGTTCAGTTGAATTCATATAAGGATGCATCTACATAATATATTCATGAGTGCACATAGTATAAAGAAAGAGTGACACAACAACGTTTATTTTTACAATCATAAGACAGTCAAGGCTTTCCATAAATGTTTATCTTTAAAATGTTTGAATTAAGAACAAATGTTGAATATTCGTAAATTATAGTACCTAGGAAGGTAAATGTAATGTTACTTAATTGATATCATTATGTAAAACCTGTGCTTCATTTAAACCTTGCTGTAATATGTTATTCTGTTCATGTTAAAGCAAACTTATGACTCAAATATACAGTAAATGCTAAATATAGGTTATATATGTTTAATGACCTTGATATTAATTTGTTTATGTTATGTATTGTATGTTTGTATATATGCTGTGTGCTCATGGGTATAATACCCACATGTATTTGGAATAAAATCTTGAAAATCTATAAAACGAAGCTTACCTGAAATCCTCGCCTCTTGCTATTTGAAAAGTTTCATGAATTGAAATAGGCATCTTGAATGTGACTTTTTGGTCGGAGTCAGGAGCAAATCCAGTCTTCTTGATCTCAAATTCTCTCATCAAATCCAGAAAAATCGTCCGTAATGCTCTCTAAATACAATGGTTATATATTTTACAAAATTGATCAAGACCGTAGCTATATTTTGTACAACATATAACCATGATTTAGTAAGTTTGCTGAATTACTTGTAAACCCCTACGCTCATAAAATTATTCCAAACAAAAAATAATCGATAAAAAAAAGAAAATTTAACGTCAAAAAAAGAAGATACAAAATTATACAGATAAAATACAAACGCAAAAACAGTATACACAATGATACACAAAAAAAAAAAAGATATACAAGAAAAAGTGTTTTTGAACAACAAACAAAAACCCTCAACAAAATCATACCAAGACACTACAAAAAACAAAAAATAACAAGAGCAAAGAGGCTAAATTAAAAAAAAAAACAAAAACAAAAAACATAACAATGAAAAAAAAGAACACAAAATAAAGGTAAAAAAAAAAGCAACGAAAAGCAAAAAAAAGAGAAACAAAAACAAAACAAAAAAAAAGGATAAAAGTATATAAATAGAAAACAACACATACAAAGACAAGAAAAAACAGTAATCAAGCAAGAAAGCATGGAGAATAAAAAGAACAACCATTAAAAACAACAAAGCAAAAAAAAAACAGAAAAAAAAATATGCAACAAAAACTCATAAAAAAAAATATCACAATTACATATGAATGACATATATAAAAAAGTGAACGGAATATATAAAAATGATTTATAAAATCTTAATTTCTTTCCGTCATACGATATACACAAAAATGTATTCAGTATTCATATAGGCGAATCAAACATTCTTTTTACATACAAGGATATCAAAACCAAAAAATATAATAGTGTTTTTATGAATGATAGAATCAGTTAAGGTCATACATGTGTATCTATGTGCCATGCTTTATCTATTATATAGTGTATAAAGAAAAAGTAAGCAAAACGCCAGTGTAAAACCTTTGAAATATCTCCATGACGTCAGGTCCCGTGATGTCTGTAAGGAAATTGATGAATGCCTCGTCTATTTTAGTGCCACCCCAGGGTCCACCATTTGCTTTGTACAGTTCCCGTACCGTGTGATCTCTTTGGGTCTCGTGGATTGTTATATCTACTGTTCCGCCTTAAATTAATAACATACATATTTTTAAATAAAATGTTCAAGTTATACTTATAAAAACTTCAAGTAAACAGTTACAAATTGACAACAATGCAAATATTGAAGAAGCATAATGATTATCATTTTGTTTACAGAAACTAGCAAAAAGAATCTTAGGTTTGTAACCTACCACCAGCGTCAAGGACAAGATATCTTTTTCCTGGTGCAAAACACGATTTTCCGCCTGTTTTTTTCCCCCCTTTAAACCCTTTTTCCCCCCCGGTAGATATTTACAAAATAAAAATGGCCCCCTCTGGTTTTAAGGGGTGAGATAAATGGGGTTTTTTCAATTTCCGGCCTAAAAATAATTAGATAAATTAATTTTTGAAATTCAAAATTAAATAAAATTTCTTTCTTTTAATAGTCTGAAATCCGAAATTTGGAAACTATTTTTAAAAAAGTCAAACACATGCAGTAAAAATTTTTTTACTTAAACAAAAAATTTTTTTAATCTTTTTAAAAATAAAAGAGCCGCTCAGAAAAAACCCAACATAATGGGGTTTTCGACCAGCAAGGATCCAGACCAGCCCGCCCCATTTCCCTGCAGTCTGATTTAGGATTCATGCTGTTGCCCTCAGATCTCTACTTGTTTAGGGTTTTTAAAACGAAAAAAGATGGTTTTCCGATCATGACTGCGGGGGAAAACGCAGGGTTTGGGCTGGATCAATGCCCGGTCGCAAAAACCCCTTATGTTTTGGGTTTTTTCGGGGAAAGCGGGTCCCAAATTAAAGGTTTTATTTCTTTTTACTTGTAAAGAGAAAGATCAAATTGGGAAAATAAATGGAATGCACAACATTTATCGTGCTTCCCCCAAAGAAATTTTTTAGCTGTACGGTTCCCTTTAAAGGTCCCGTTATGACCCAGTGAATTTCGGGCAAAAATTCAAAACCCTAAACTCCTTTCCTCACATAATTGTATCAGTTGACATTTCAAATATCTTATACCTTCGGTGAACACTGTCATAGCTGGCATTTCCTTGCGTTTGTCATCTTTCAGCATTGTACCTCTGTTTAAGTCCTGAAGACGGAAAAACCCAAAACATTTGCTTAATCTTTAATGTATTTCAAGATGATTGTATCATATTCCAAATGAAACAAAAAAAGGTTAATAAAAATTATATTAATTAATCAAGAACTGTTACGTGAACTGAGAACTACATTTACCATATTTTCATAGAGTAACATCTTGAATCGTTTGAAGTAGTACCAGTCAAAATGATTTTCGTCCATTGCCAATTCTGCGTATTTATCTTCTGCTTCAAATCCGAAACTATCAAACGACTGATCTGGACGAAAGAGTATACATGATGAAGTCTTTAAGGAGGCGGGTCTTCCAGCACCTGTCTTCCATTGGTTGGTCATTATTTTGAGAGGATCGTCCAAGAAGTCTGAACGGAATGACAATGCATAACCTGAGTAGGTGGTTCCAAAGTCAATGGCAGCTACCTGTAACCGCTCCTTAACAGCTGCCGCAATAACAGGAATTCTTGACGAAGCCATTTTCTATCTGATATTAGCAATGTCTTAATTTAAAACGAGTAGCTGCAGAAACAAAAGCATGGCAATTAGCATTTGCACGTTTATAAGAATATTTAAAGCATTATATGTAAATATATATATATCTTCGTATTTGTACGATTATCTTTACATGTATCTTTTCACGTCAATGTGTACGTCAATGTTTACATATGATTTTCCATTTTTATCAAACGCCCAGATATGAAAATAGAGGGATATCCCTCGAGAGCAGTGAAAGCAAAAGTAAAATATGAAATGTTCAGAAAGAACTTACATGAAGCGGTCATTATAAGATTTTTCAGTAATAAAGTATATACTTCCTACTATAAACAAATAAAACATACTTTCGATTTCGATTTCGCATGTTTATAATGATTTCACTTGGACTAGTTTTATAACTATCAAGTAATGTCTGTCTAAGACAGTGCCATAGATCATTGAAGCACAGTAAGAAAAAAAATAATTATTAATTTATTTTACCTGCTCGTTTTCTGGGATTTTACTATGTAAGTTTCTCTTTGAACTTCCAAGAAATAATGCAAATTATACTTCCCCTTTAATTCCCTTCCTTGTATAATCTCTAATGTTTGTATACAGGTATCAGATATTGGCTGGGTCACAGTATTTAGTACTTTAAACATCATGTGATATGTAGCTGTAATAATTTGTTTTATCTATTGTATTTACTTTATTTTCTGTGTCCAAAAATATAAACATTTTATTCTAATCCAATAGAATTTGTGATCGTGCCAGCAGAGTCAATGTACTTGTACTGAATTTATTTCAACTTTATGCGAAGTCGTTTTAAAACATTCAATTTTCAAAATTAGAAAATAGTATATGCCTATATTCTTATATTTTCCCTTTTTTATCAACTTGACGATTGTCTCGATAATCCTTGTCTATAAGTGTTTCCGTTCTATTTATGAAAGTGTTAAATGTATCGGTTCAGTTTCTATATCAAATATAAAGTTGTAATACAATGTAATAGCAATTTCAATTTTCTTGGTTCCGCGTTTGTTTAAAACATTTAATGATATTTTAGGGTTATTTTACACCATGTGGCTTCTCATTTCAAATCTTATAGAACTTCTTATTCCCTTTTTTTAAAAAGCTTTTTTTATACCCATTGTTTTTGGGCACACGCATTTTATTACCTGTGGAAAATACGCCGCTTTTCGTGAAATGGCACTTACTTGTCACATTAACAGTGTGGCAATACCACGTGACATTGACGTCATTTTCGGCATCATTTCCAAGACAAATATTGCTCGATTCGGAAAAGAAAATAACCGTAAATTTTATTTTGTACCAATTTTTTTTGGGGAATGCACCAGTCACGGGAAAATATAAGTTTCCCAGAATTTTGGGATCTTTGTCAGTTTATAAGCCGTTTTATCAAACACTTTGCAAATTGGGAAATTTCTTTAAGAGCGGGGTTTAGTTGCAACTTTTTTTCTGGGGTTATTTGGGCTAGCCATTATTTAGGGGTTTAAAAATGGGGGGGGGCGACAGAAAACCCAATTTTTTTTTTTTTTTATTTTGGGATCTTTCATTTTTTTTTAATGTAATTTGGCAAACCAGTCGAAAAAAAACTTGTTTTAAAAAAAATTTTAAATTTTAATTGATATCTTTTTGTGGTTTATTTGTAATTTTAAAAAAAAATCCAAAAAAGGGATAGATTTTTAATCAAAAATTTTAAAAATTTTTTTTCCCATAAATTTAAAAGGCAACTTAGGAAAAAGAAAGGAAATTAAAAAATAAAAAAAAATTTTTCAATTAGGTTTTAAGTTTAAAAAAAAAAATTCGGAAATTTTTAAAATTTCCTTAATTTTAAATTTTTAATAAATCTATTTTAAAAATTTACATTTCCATTTTTTGGTTAATTTTAAAAAAAAAAAGAACTTTTGTTTTTTTTAAAAAAAATTAAAAAAAAAAGCGGATTAAAAATTAAATTCCCCGGTAAGTCATTTTTATATAATTGATACTTAATAAAAATTTTACAAACGAATTTCAAAAATTAAATTTCCCGGAAAAATAAAAAAATATATTTAAATTTTGGTAAAGGGAAATGATTTTTTTTCAATTTTTTTTGGGTTTTAAAAAAATTTTTTTTGGTTAAAATAGTTAAAAAACAATTGGGGTTTAATTTTCGGTTCATTAAATATTGAATAAAATATAACATTTTTAAAAAATTATAAAACACAAAAGAAGTTTTAAAATTTAAAAAATCATTGGAAAAAATAAATAATTTTTTAAATTTGTTAAATTTTTCCCCCCCCAAAAAAAAATTAATCACCAAAAAAAGTGATTTTCACCCCAACTATGTAGTTGCTGACCCTTAAATTTGCCCTTTAGGGAAACCCAAATTTTTAAGAAAAATTTAAACCCATTGTAAAAAATAATTTCTATTTAACCAAAAGCAATTTTGTACAGAAAAATTTTTTTTACTCCGTTTTCATACCCCCGGTAACCTTTTTTTGTGGAAATGGATATAATTCGTTCATTAAAACTAAATATTTTTTTTATTTTTTGCATTTATTTCTGTTGATTAAAATGCAAAATTCTAACAAAAATTTTGTTAAATTTTAAACAAATCAATCCAAACTTTTTTTTGAGAGCTCACCAAATTTTAAAAAGAGGAAAAGGGGAACCGGGGAAAATTTTTTGGTTTTAAAAAAATTTAAAACGATGAATTTTTAAAAATAATGTCTTTTTCAAATTGAATAAAAAAGATAGGGCTCTTTAAGGGAAATATTTAATTATCGATGTGGTCCCTTGGCTTAAAAACAATTGGGTTATTGGGAGGGGCAAAGACCTTTCAGATGTCCTCAATTTGGACTTTTTGTTGTTTTTAAGATTTAAAAAAGGACCCCATATTAAAATCTAAAACTGATAAACCCTAATGCATATGCCAAATTTAAATGAAAATTTTCTGATAAAATGAATAAAGAAGTAAGTCATTTTACAGTTGAAAATAAAAATTGAATATTTCTTTTTCAAAGTATATCGTAAATTTTACCTTTTGCTTATGTTAGCTATCAATTATTCAAAGGACGCATCAGTGTCATATATGGACCCCAGTGGTGTTGCTATTACATATGTTAATGTAAATATTTATATAATTATTGATAATCATCGTTATTTCCGACTTTTTGAATGATTTGTTTCAAGAACTTTGACTGTGATCGATGGCTGTTGGTTTATAAAATCATTTATCTGTCTACTATTTTCTACTTTGTTTACTCCACATGGCGTCCATTCTCGTCTTTTTTGGCGACTCATGGCTATTTTGTGCCTTTTTGATAAATAGAGAATCATAAGTAATGCAACTAAGTAACAATACTATCAGTTCCAAGATATATGTAATGATATTAAAAATTGTTCTACACAAAGAACAAAATCTGACTGATGATGAATATGCTTATAGTTTGAATAAGCATTAAAATGTAAAAGGTTTCATGTTTAATTGCGGTGACAAATTAGATTTTCAGGTTTTAATTTTTTAAATTTGGTGATTTTGTTTTATCAAACTCTAAATAAGAAAATTTATTATTACGGCAATTCCCAAGAAAAATATATTACCTTTTCAAAGTCTTTCTTTTGTGAACCAGAAGAACCTATTCAACCACTATCACGAGTGTCAGTGTTTGTGACTCTTTACAAAAAAAATAGACTGAGAAAAATTCCCTAAGCCCTTAACAACACCGATTTCAAGTGTTAACCCCTTTCCGGTAGCATTGTTTTTTTTTAACTCTTTTTCTCACTGAGAGCACATTTATTTCTTATCAATTTTGCCATTGTGAAATAGAATAAATCACATTTTACTACATAGGATAAGATGAGCAATACGTTAAACATCTTCAAAACGAAACCAAAATATTATTTTTCGGTGCACTATTGCGATACAAGTAAGTGTTATTGCTTTTTAGGAACAATCAGTTTTTTCACAATCTCTTTGTGAAAGATCAACAATGAAAAACTAATTGTAGAAAGAGAACGGTAGGCATGTTGCTTTGCATTTGCAACAGATTCTTAAATCTGCTTTAAACTGTAGTACTTTTTTTCGACTTGGAACTGGTGCCAGAATTTATAATTGAAGATAAATGTAAGACTTATGTCATTCATAATAAAAATATAAACATATTTCGGTAGAGTTTTGCCTTCCGTACTCCCGGTTGATGTAAACCTGATCTATTAATCATGGCGTAGACCAAATAACGCCAGAAAACGAAAGAGCTTGCAACTGAAGCCCGCTCGTATACAAGCAACTTCCAAGGTTATGCAAAGTGTTTGATAAAACGGCTTATACACTGACGAAGATTCAATATTCTGTGGAAAGCTTATATTTTTCCCCATAGACTGGTGCATATCCCAAAGAAATTGGTACAGAAATAAAATATTTACGGCTATTTTCTTTTCCGAATCGAGCAATATTTGTCTTGGAAATGATGCCGAAAATGACGTCAATGTCACGTGGTATTGCCACACTGATTAAAGGTTCCAAGATAATCGCCATATGTACAAATCTGCGGATGTTTTTCAGTTCAAAACTTTACCATTTCATGTGAAATGTTGAATTCTGCTTAAGCCGATGCTGGGGAGTGAGGGGGGGGGGGGGGGGGGGGGGGGTGGAGAGTAGTTTGCACTTTTCAGTACAATCAATGAAAAGAGCCAGTCCAACCGAGCCTGTAACATTTTCAATTTTGCCGTTGTAGGCGTTCTTGAAGGCCCATTTTGCCCCAGAAATGCTTTATTTTTTTTTAAAAGGTTTCTATTTTTGGTTTCCTCGTATTGGATATAAAAATATACTCATCAGCCAGTTACCTTTACCATGCTTAGTAAAGTATTTTGTGTTGTCAAAATACTACTTTGTTTACAATTTGTTATACATGTATTTAAATTTCAAGTTTAGCGCTTTCGTCAGGTTACATGCATCTAGTCAACATGTTCTAAAACATGATTTAAACATAATAAAACTCTTACTTTTTCTTTCTATCAAAGTAAACTTTTATTCGTTTCTGAGGCATTATGTGCTCGTATGGGATTCCTTTTTTTTCGCTATTGTAAACGTATAAACTGAATAAAAACTTAACAACATTCTTTGTTGGTAATTTTATAGATACGGTTAAAGTTGAGCTGAATTTGCTAATAATAATTATAATGAATTAGCTTAATTATTATAAATATTTAATCAAATAAATTCAAAGATTTAGAGAATTTAGACAATGAGCTAATAAATATCTTGTCATGTCAATGTCATCATTCACGCTTCACGTATACTTTATGAAACCCATTTATTAATTAGGTTTCATAATAAATAAACTAAAACATATATTCTATTTACGATGTATCCAACTCCACGCTGTATGACTCTTGCTTTTATCCTTAGACCCTTGTGCTACACCTTTGCTAAGCAATGGACCATTCTCATGAAGTCGCATTGCTGGCCAAACTATGTAGTCTTGAAATTTACCACGACGAGTATACTCTTTAAATAGGTCTTTATCAAATGGCAAATTCTCTACAACTGTTTCTGCATTCTTCTCTGAATCTACACTAGCATCGATTGTATCGTGTGAGCTGCTTGATCCTAGAGTTGCGTCAACGTTATTGTCGTTGCTAGTAGCATCGGTATCATTGTGATCATTTTCATTTACAGGCTTTTCTACATCTTTAGGTTTTGGTTCAACATAGTGCTGTATCCCCTGCTGTTCTTCAATTTTGAGTTCATCTGCTCCAGGGTTGTCGTTTTCTTTGTTTTTTTCTGAGTGTATATTTAATGTTTCGATATGTTCTTTTTCTATTTCATCCCGGCTATTCTCATCGAATAAGGTACTGTTATCTACTTTTTCCAAAGACTTCTGTTCCACGTCACCCTGTTGAAACTCATGTTGATGTTTGTTTTCATCTTCTACAGCCTCGCAATCGGCCTCGACAATGTCTTCAGTTAAGTCCTTTTCCAAGGTACCAACAGTATTATTCTTCATTTGTTGTGAGTTTTCACTCTTTGCCTCTTCTGATTTCAAATCGCGTTTTTCGGAAGAACTTCTTCTGTCTGCAGTTTCACCAGTTTCTTCATAGCCTTGTTGTTCATTATGTCCTAGAATTTCGTTCTGTTCAATCACTTGGTCACGTTGTTCTTCAGTTTTCATTTTTCTTTCTTCATGATTGTCGTTTTCTTTGTTACCTTTCATGTTTCCATCCATTGATTCGATCTGTTCCTCTCCGTTTTCATCTTTAACATCAAATAACTTACAGTTATCAATATTTGCAGGAGAGGTTTCTTGTTCTGCGTTACCCTTTTTATGCTCTTTATTTTCATCTCGTTCAGTCTTGTTTTTCTCTTTGGCACTGCCTTCTGTCAAGTCTTGTTTTGCCAAGTTACTGTCATTATCTTTGTTCTGCTGTTTATTTTCTGGTATGACATTATCATAAGTAGATGGATCATTTGAGTTTGCGCTATTGTCCTCATCTGAATCCCTATGTTCTTGTCTAGCATCACAGTTTTTGGAGGCATGTCTGTTATCTGTATATCCACCATTTTCTTCAGGATATTGTAGTTCATGTTCGTTATTTTCTTCAATTTCGCACTTGTCGTATGCTTGTTCTTCAACTGTGTTACCTTTATCATTAACGATAACAAAGTCATCATTCTGTATTGCCGTCTCTGGTAAGACACATTCAATGTCTGATTTGACACCAGAACATTCGCTATTTTCATTTTCAATCAAATCCTTATGATCATTTTTCAAATATTGTTCTCCAGAGGATTCATTATTGCTTCTAGTTTTATCATTTTCTTCGTTGCCTTCTGTTTTAAATTCGTCTTGTCCTTGAATTTCGTATTCGCTTTTTGTTCTGTCTTCTTTGATGTCTTGTTTCTTGTCATCGTTTCCTTGTTCTTCTGACAGTAGATCTTGTATGTGAATGACGTTCCATCCGGGACATACTAATACAACAGGTGGATCAGTTGTTACCATCAGCAAACAAAGCTCGATACATTTTGTGAAATATGTACTAATATCTTCATTGGACAGAAGCGATTTCAACTTCTTGTCATCACAAACTCTACTCACATTCTCAGAGAAAATCTATGTAAAAGAAAAATAAACAGATGTATATGAAAATAAATGGAAAAGGACTCAATTATAGAAAAAAATTTGGATTCTATTAATATGTAAATAATAAAATCATTTATGATATTTAAGAACATTGTATTTTTTTCAAATATCTTATGTCGGTTTCCAGATGTTTATACCCCAAAAATTTATGTACTCCGTGAAGATAATCAACTTTGAGTTTTCATGAATAAATTAATAATAATAATAAAGACACATTAACAAATGAATGCAGAATACATCATATTTAGCATTACCTTATCGACTTCAGGCACTTTCTTCTGGACGTTTACTTTTCGGCTGTCCTTTAACCATTTTGATGTTTGCTGAGCTCCGGGAAGATTCTGTATCAAAATAAAATCCGTTTTATTTTGCATAACTTTATTTTATGATTTCTTACATATTTTACTAATAATATATAACGAGAACGATATATTTTCGAGGTGCATTTTTTCGCTTTTTCATTTATATGTGACTAGGTCTTATTCATGTAAAATGTTGTCTTTTCCAAGGAATTTACGTTTTCAAAGTAGGCTGTTTAAAATATCAATAAGAAAATATATTTAAAGAGATACCTCATCAAGAAACCAGTACACTAGAGTTTTCCATGGTTCGTCGACCCTCTGTTCACAAAAGTTATACGCTAACTGCAAGAAAGGTGTAAATATGAAGAAAACAAATTTCATATCGAAAACCTACGTGCCATACAATCAATGCTTATAAGGAAATTTCTATAAGTGCGTGATATTATACATATTATATGTAAATGTGTAGATATCGGGTATAATTTCATTTTGCTAATACACTAAAATGTATAGAACTTAACATCTTAATTGTTTCGACATTTTTACAATGATTTAACCTTTAAAAGAGCACAGCCCTTACAAAACTAAGGTTCATGATACAAATACCGTGTATATGATGATAGCATTTGGAAATATGGTCCGATCGGAATATATCAAAAGCATTGTTTTCTCATTTAATGGAAATAGTAATATATAGATAGAATATATTAACATAAAATATGTTTGTGAATTAATATTTTGGTGACTAAAAACATCAAAGACGTACATACCATTACAGTATCAAGTAGCACTATAATTGCATGTTCCTCTGTTAGGTCATCTTCAAGGACACTAAAAGCATTAGTCCATTCGTTATCATACAACTCTCCAAACATTTCTGCCAGTTTTGTCGCACGACACGGGTCGCTCAGGTCCACAATGTTAGGGTTATTGTCCCGAAGTTTGACTGACACTTGTTCACTTAATCTGAATATATCAATTAACTTATTGTTAAAAAAGGTATGTTCATATAAGAGCTTACATATAGATTTTTTAGGACTTACATATGTTTCAACAGAAAATAAAGTAAGTTAATAATATCTCAGTTTTTTTACAAGAATGGCAAAGTGACATGTCATTTCTGAAATGTTTAAATAACTAAAAAGCTGATAAAAGTGTCATTAACAGTCAGATTTAGATCCTAAAAATTTTTTAGTAAAAAATCATAAGGATACCTTCTAAGAGCGTCCTGTTTCTCTTCTTCAAGAACTCTATTCTCTTCAGTCAAACTACTGATGTATCCACGCAACTCTTGCATATTGTTTTCTTTACATTCAATATCATTTTCCAGGAAATGAATGTGGTCAGATGCTTGATTGATTTCAGATACGCGTTTGTTAATCGTTTCTTGAAGATTTTTGAATTTTTGGTCCATGTCAGAAACTTTCTTTGTTAGTTCCTTGTTACGATTTATATGTCCGTCATTTTCTATCCGAAGTTCTTTTTGTTCATCTTCTAATTGTCTGTTCTTCGACATCTCCTCTTCGTACACCTTATTAAGTTTTTGTTCCTTCTTAGAAAGATCTTGAATCAATTCATTTTGCTTCTGGTTTTCAATCTCTACCGCTTCTTTCATGTCTTTTAAGTGTTTATATTCCCCTTTAAGTATCTTGAGGTCTTGATTTAGTTTATCGTTTAAGTTTCTGAGTTCCAAATTGTGTTCTTCTAGTCCCCTCTTTTCGTTTTCAATTGTTTCGTTTTTGTCATTAAGCTGGCTGTTTTTGTCATTAAGCTCGGAGTTCCTCTCTTCAAGATTTCTGTTTTCTTTCAAAAAGTTGGTCTTTTCCGTTTTGTTTTCAGCAATCACTGCATTAAGGTTCTTTACTTGAAGTTCTAGGTCGTCTGCTTTACTTTTCAGAAACAATGGCATCCTTCCAGCAAATTTCCTGAAAAGAGAGATTTTTCACCATTCAACAACAAAAGAAGAAAAAATTAAAGATATAAAACAACATTATTCAGTATGTACAGTAAGGCCAAGTCCTGAATCCGGCTATCCCCTTAGTTAATTCAGAGACACAATTTTACATTTGCATGTTTCTACCTAACGAAAGCTTAAAAGATTAAATGTCGGCACAGGTTTTTGAGTCTCTGGTCTCTGCCAGGTGGTCAGGTGATGGTTGGGGCTCATTTGATGTGCTTAGATCGAGAAGTATCGGCTAGCTTTTCATACTGTAATACAGTAAACTTTAAAATCTATTTTTCTTGTAGCTTAGCGTCTAAGCTGACACAAATGAAACTACTAACTTACAGATAAAATCTATCAAAGGAGTATATTTTAGTTTTAAAATATTAAGTAACGATTAATTATTTTTAAAAATCGACAACTGCAAAAATCCATTTCACTTCTTTGAAAAGTTTGTATACTTACTGGTACACAAGTACCTGTATCCAAATAATACTGCTGGTGATTGAATCTATGATCATTGATGGATGTCGTAAATACTTCCACCCTATAAAGACAAACAGTTTTACATAATTAACCCCTGAACTAGTACTTTATAAAATAATTTACATTTTATTTAGATAAGAGTTTACGAATTAAAATAACAAACATGACATGAATGTTTTTGTATTATATAATACCATACATTCATACTTGAAATGAAGATTTCATTCGACTTTGAAACAATCGGATATATATTCAAAATAAATTAAGCATTTTACTGCGCGTGGAATTGTAAGATTAAGAGGCTTTGATTTTCACAGTTTGATTTAAGTCACAGTATATGGTACAGTATACTTTACGATTGTATTTTATTAAAAACACTGTGTCCAAGACAGTATATTAATTATTATGCTATTATTATGTGCAGTTAAGACAGATGCTATATCTTGATAAAGTAAAAATGAAAATAACTCATTTGTTGAAGTGAAATTTTCATTATGCAATAATATGCATGTAGCATCATTGATAGAAAATCATTTTGTCCCTTACCATTCTTCAGAGAAAAATAAATGTTTTATTGAAATTAAAACAATTAAAGATCCTTATGTTCTAATAAAGGTTGTTACGACGTTTATGCGAAATTTAATATATGTATATAAATATGCTTCTAAACCAATTTTCAAACATCGAATAATATATGAAATATGTATTGCAAATAATTGTTTCTAGACATATGATGTTCCGATGTTTTGTTTTAACATACACAGGTTAATACATTTTCCTCCCCGAAGAAACATTCATAGGTAATACTAACTTTTTGACGATTTTACAGGTGATGTATAGAATAGCATTTAAAATGTCATTCTCTGTAAGAGACAACAATAATTCTAAACTGATAAGATAAAGCAATGAGATATTGTGAAATATTTGTTTCAACTAGTCAGTGTGAGGGATCACTTTGTTTCCAGATTTTTAAACATCACAACAGCAGGTGTCAAGTGCCGTGTGGCAGCTGTAAAAAGTTGACCCGTTCTTCACTTCAGTGTTGTTATATTTTTCTGGTACTTCGGGATCATTGATACCAGCACTATTAAGTGTTGAAAAAATGAGTGCCGGTGCTAGGGGGCGTGAGGGATGTTGCACTTACTCATGTACTTAATCAAACAGAATCTACATTTTTCATGTAATTTTGTTGGTATTAATGCTTCCGAGGGGGGAATCACTTTGTTTCCAGATTTTAAATATATGAATTTATTATGATTTTTACATGTTCATATAAAGAGTATGCAACATTAAATAGTTGGAAAGACCTTTTAGTTATTTTATGTCTAGAATACGTGATCAAAATCATGTTTGTAATGACATACCGTTGATAGATGAGATAGATAATGATAGTAAGATTAAGTAAGTAGATAACACTACATGTTTGTTCGATCATATAAACAGGTTTAAGTGCCCTTTCACTATTAATATACCAGAAAAAAGAACTTCCGTTTTACAGAACACATGAAATGACTCCAAGCCCATATAAATATTTGCGCAACCCGTCATTTTTCTACATATTCTCTGAAACAGTACTTAAATTAATAATAACCCCCGTCAGTCTCCCCACTAGCTCCAAGATACAATAACAATATGATATAAGTGTCTATTCAAACAATTACATTCATTTGTATAGAAATATCTGAAGGCAAATCTCATCGTGTTCAATAGCTCATGGACCTTTCGTATATCAATTGCTTTTCATATTTACTCTAAGGTCATTATAGCCACATATTCACCAATCTCAGGTTATAATGTATTACTATGGAACGCCATAGCCGCCTCATGTTGTTACATTTCGTTTTATTTTTCCCAAAAGCGTCTTATTATGTATAATAGAAGTGTTGGCTTCCCAACGTTTTATGAGAACCTGTCTTAACGAAGTCTTATTAGGTCAAATATTCATTTTATCTTGTCAAAACGTAATGCTGACTTGTCTAAAAACTGTCTCATTATTTCAAAACGTCATGTTAGCATGTGCAAATCCGGTGTTAACATGTCGAATGGAAGACTTAATATGTCTACCATTCACGCCATCTTTTTAAATTATGATTTCAATATGTCTGAACACAGACTTGTTTAAATGTGGTGTTGAATTGTCTTGAAATTGTCTTATCATGTGAAACAGTAGTGTTATCTTGTCGGAAGTTGGTGTCATCTTGTCCAAATGTGATCCTGGTTTGTTATGACACTGTTGTATTATGTAATACTGTCGTTTTGTCTTGTCCAAATGTGGTATTGACTTGTCTAAACACCGTCACATTTTGTCTGACTGCCATGTCATTGTTTTCAAATTCGGTGATATCTTGCTCAAAGAATGTCTTTTATGTCAAAATAGCATGCTGTCTTGTCCAACTGTGGTGGTAATTTGTCTAGAAATTGTCTTATTATTTGAAACAGTAGTGTTATCTTGTCGGAACTTGGTGTCAACTTGTCAAACTCATGTCTTATCATGTCGGCTAGTAGTGATATCTTGTTCAACCGTCATATTGACTTGTCTGAGTATTGTCCTGTTTTGTCAAAATGTTATGTTGCTTTGCATAAGGTGGTGTTATTCTATCTTATTGTGCCAAAACATCATGCTTTCTTGTCTAAAATTGTTGTTATCCTGTCTAAAAATAAACTTATTATGTGAAATACTAATGTTGACTTGCCAATAAATTATGTTTGTTTGTGTAAACGTTATTTTATTATGTCAAACAGTATTGTTGACTTGTCCAAAGATGGTATTGACATGTCTAAACACTGCTTTATTTTCTCAGATCGCCATGCTATTTTATCCAAACTTTATGTTAACCGGCCTAAACACCGTATTATTATGTGAAATAATGGTGGTATCTTTACAAATTATGGTTATGAACTGTTAAAACGCTATTTTAATATATCAAACTGTCATGCTATTATGTCCAAATGCAGATTCAACTTGTCTGTGTTCGTCTTATTATGTCAAATAGTCTTATCATCTTGTCGAAACGTGGTGATGACTTGTCTAAAATAACTATCTTTTTGCCAAAGTGTCATTTTATTTTGCCAAGGTTCGGTGTTAATTTTACTAAACAGCGTCCATTTATGGCGAAGTATCATTTCTTCCTTTTCAAATGTGGTGTTTACTTGTTGAAACACAGTATCATTATGTAATACAGGGGCGTTGACTTGCCAGTTTATGACGTTTACATGTCTTAATACCGTCTCATTATGTCAGATAATCGTGTTATCCTGTCCAGATGCGATGTTGTCAAAATTTAGTATCACGTGACCAGAGCCCGCGCGGAGCGCGAAATGATAGAGCAAAAAAGATATCGGGACAGTTTAGCAAAATCAGACAGCGCTTTCTCAAGACAGAACTGGATTTGAACAAATTTACACAATTATTAGACATAATAAGACTGTTTCTGTGTTTTACAAGAAAACATCAAATTTTGACAATATAACACTTCTGTTTTACATTATAGGAAAGAGTTTTGACAAGTCATTACCACATTTCGACAAGATACCGCACTTTTTTTGACTTTATAAGACTGAGTTTTAACCAGTCAAAACCGCTTTTTGACAAAATAGCGTACAGATTATCATAATAAGGCATGATTTAGCCCAGTCAACACCCCATTTCGGCAAGATAATTCGAATATTTGATATAAAACACAATTAGGTAGTGTACGTTGGCAAATTAACACAGTTGTTTGATACAATATGACAATGTTAAGGCATTTAAACACCGTATTTTGACAAAATAACATGACAGTTTGATAAAATAAAGCTGTGGTTTTACAAGTCAACAACAAATTTCGACAAGAGAACACTACTGTTTCAAATGATAAGACAGTCTTTTGACAAAACGGCTCCACAATTTGACCAAATAGCTCGACTAGTTGACATAATATGATACATTTCAGACAAGCCAAAACGACATTTTGACATGATAACACTACTGTTTGAACTAATTAAACAATGTTTACACAAGTCAACATCACATTTTAAAAAGATAAGATTACTGTTACGCATAATAAGGCAATGTTTAGACAAGTCGACAAATTACAATGGCATTACAACGCTTATATCTGACATAAAAAGACGCTTTCGGGGCAAGATAAAAAGAAATGTAATAACATGAGGCAGCAATGGCGTTCCATATATTACTGTTTGGCCGGTGTTTACATTGGTAACTATATTTGTGTTAGCCTATATTTCTTTATTACCCTAACAAATAAGTTATTTTACCATCATACTTGAATCCGGGATAGTCTCAGAGAAATAGAACAAAATTTGACCCGTTGAAAGTTACAAAAAACCTGAAAGTCACTTTTTGTATCAACAAGTTTGTTTTATTTGCATGTCATATAAAAAAAATAACTATATTACGCTTACCAGTAATCTCTATGCAAACTATATCTACTAAAAAATCTTACATGAAGGCAAACCCACCAAAATCGAAATCATATTTTTACCATATTTATGTAAACCAATGCACAGTTACTGCTTTTAACACGCTTACTCATAATCCTGCAAAAATGTGTTCAATGTAATAAATATGGAGACCTGGTACTCCTCGTCCAACCATTCAGTGCAAAAATATCAGCAGATTTGTAAATAATATGAAGCTATTACACATTGTTGGGTACAATATTGAATTCTTTTTAACGAATACAAAGCTGTCATACACATATTGGCCGAGGCGTTTGTCGAGTCTAATATAGGTTTTGCGAGTCAACTAGAATCAGTGATGTTCTCAACAAAGTATAATGATGACCTCTTTGTTTCACAGTTTTGAACATTTTGACAGAACTTTGTAACTTTAAATACAATACGGAATTAATATGTATTTTGTACCCTGAAAATAAAAAATAAACATACTTGATTTGATGGAGTACGAAATGTTTTTGATATAGACATTTTGGACTCTAGACATGAAAACGAGGCTTTATGGGGTACGATATGCATTTGATATAGATATTTTTGACACCGAGAATGGACATGGGGCTATATGGGGTACAATATGCTTTAAATGAACTACTCTGGAAAAAGAAAGAGGTAAAAATGATAAAAATGGATCCGATTACGATTTCTATTGGAACACCCCATGGTGCAAACGCTGGAAGTCTATTGGTTATTTTTATAAGGTGTGAAATAAGATGTGTTATTTACTGAATATGTTTTTCTTCCTTTGTGTCATACTATTATATATTATATCATAAATTTACCAAAAAAATATGCATTGTTTATAATGAGAGGATATTACAAAAGAAAAAGTATGCTTTATTTCATGAATGTAGTGTTTATGGTTCTCCGCTTTTTTCTGTTAGTACCTAGATCTACATGTAAGTATTATGTCATCACAATATGTATTGCTGTATGTGCATAATTCTACTGTACCTAAAATATGAAGTACTATATATTACATTATGTAATACAGTGGCGTTGACTTTCCAATTTATTACGTTAACTTGTCTCATTATGTCAGATAATCGTGTTATCCTGTCCAGATGAAATTTTGTCCGGAATGAACTTAAATAGGTCTAATTCATCTTTTCACACCGATTTATGTATGATAGTGAATGAAAAATGTAAAAATCGGCGAAAAAAAAACGATATTTGTCTATTTTGTGATCATGATTTCTGCAAGCGTCTAGAGGCACTGATCCAATCCTGTATTGAGTTAAAGCAAAAAAGATAACGGGACAGTTAACAAAATCAGACAGCGCTTTCACAAGACAGAACTAAATTTGAACAAAATAACACAATAATAAGACATAATGAGACTGTTTTTGTTTTTTTTACAAGAAAACATCAAATTTTGACAAAGTAGCAATATGTTTTACATTATAAGAAAGAGTTTTAACAAGTCATTACCAAATTTCGACAAGATACCGCATTTTTTTTTTACTTTATAAGACTGAGTTTTAACAAATCAAAACCTCTTTTTGACAAAATAGCATACAGTTTTACATAATAAGGCATGATTTAGCCCAGTCAAAACCCCATTTCGGCAAGATAATGCGAATATTTGATATCATAAGACAATTCAGTGTACGTTGGCAAATTAACACTTCTGTTTGACACAATTAGACAATGATAAGGCATTTACACACCGTATTTTGACAAAGTAACATAGCAGTTTGATAAAATAAAGCTGTGCTTTGACAAGTCAACGCCAAATTTCGACAAGAGAACACTACTTTTTCAAATGACCAGACACTCTTTTGACAAAACGGCCACAATTTGACCAAATCGCGCGACTAGTTGACATAATATGTCATATTTCAAACAAGCTAAAACGACGACATGATAACACTACTGTTTGAAACAATTAAATAATGTTAAGACATGTCAACATCACATTTTGAAGAGATAAGACTACTGATACGCATAATAATGCAATGTTTAGACAGGTCGACAAAATACTTTGGCAACTCAATGCTAATATTTGATATAATAAGACGCTTTCTAGGAAAGATAAAAAAAAATGTAATAATATGGGGCAGCTATGGCGTTCCATACTAATCTATCAGTAAACTCTTAAAAGTTACGGCTGATTACAAACATTTGCATAGTCATTACATGTCCCTTAATGTTTGAAAAAGCGTTACTACGTAAGAATATCACACATGCAATCATCAATTCATTTTATTTTCAATTCAATATTTTATTGCGCATATGAACATACATGTATTTAAATGTTCTTTACCAACATGTATAAACAAACAGAAACATAACTCTTGTGTCTCTGTAGATTAATGCAATGTCTATATAGATTAATTCAATGTATATATAGATTAATTCAATGACTACATAGATAAATTCAATGTCTATATTGATTTATTCAATACATATATTTATTTATTCAATGCCTATATAGATTAATTCAATGTCAACATTAATAAATTCAATGTCTATTTAGATTAATTCAATGTCAGCATTAATAAATTCAATGTCTTATTAGATTTATCCAATGTCTACATAGATTAAATGTCTGTATTCATTTTTTGTTGATGAATTCAATGGCTACATACATTAATTCAATTTTTGTAGATTAAATCAATGTCTACGTAGATTAATTCAATGTCTACATTCATTTTGTAGATTAATTAAATGTCTATATATATTATTTCAATGTCTTCATAGATTAATTCAATGTATACATTGATTAATTCATTGTCTATATAGATTAATTCATTATTAATATAGATTAACTCGATGTCTGTATAGATTAATTCAATGTCTATATAAACTAATTCATTGTTTATATAGATTGATCCATTGTCTATATAGATTAATTCATTGTTTATATAGATTAATTCATTGTCTATATAAATATTCATTGTCTATATAGATTAATTCATTGTTAATATAGATTAATTCATTGTTTTTATAGATTAAATCGATGTCTATAAAAATTATTTCATTGTCTATATAGATAAATTCAATGTATACATTTATTAATTTAATGTTTATATAGATAAGTTCAATGTCTATATAGATTAGTTCAATGTCTACATAGATTATATCATTGTCTATATAAATTAGTTTCAATAACTCAAGTATTAATAAGTGTGCACTTGATAAAATATTAATAACGTTTTAAATAAAAATCGATACCAATAAACCTTGGGATAAAGAAAAATACACTGTAAAATAAGACGATTTAGATATTTGTTCAATAAATGTATAATGAAACCCGGACACACATTTTGACAATGACTGACAAAAAATGACCAATTTCACTTAATAAAGCTTTGATATATATTTTTTTACAAACTTACACGTTGTTTTCCGGTCTTTGTTTCCCCCATCTGGAGGGTTTTCAGGATCTTCATTCATTCTTGTGGCATTCTTCGGCGGTTGGTTATTGAATCTTGTTTTCGGTTTACCCTGCAAATCGAAACAGGAAGTAATTTAACTACTGTCGTTATACGTTATGTTTACAATAAATTCCTAATGAATATTATATATCATTGAAGCTAACTGCTAATACTTTACCTTGTTTCTCTTCCTTCCGCCCATTTTGAGACTTAATTTCCTGACTTGTTGAACGGGTTTGTTGATATACACATGATAATATATTACACTTTTCCACGAACGCCACATACGATTATCTGAATTGAAGCCTATCTTACTGTCGAAGTCTATTTTACTGATATACGATTAAATTGTACTAAATATAGCACATGAAATGTTGAAGCGTTAAATTGGTAATATAAACCAAGGAAAAATTCTTCGTGTGTAGTAAGTTGCCTAATCGGTGGCAATGGAGGGTCGCTTGCAGGTTAGCTACTGGCGTTCAGTCCTAAAGAAAAGTTATTCACGTACATTTTATTAAACTAATGTGTTTAAATGATTACTTTCTAATAGCATTCGTATATATTTTAATGGCTATGATGTTAAGAAAACAACAACAAAAGATATCTTTTGAACAATTACCATTTCCTTTTAATACAGCTTAATCCATTTAATCATACGTTTTAAGGATTTTACTTACTTTTAAAATCCAAACATTCTTAAGTTGAATTTATAATAGTCACTAAAACCTCACAATAACCGGTAACTTTATCACAACTTTCACCTCCTTTAAGTTGAGTACATGTTTACTTATTGTAAAGAGACACAGGGGTGGGTTGTGGCATATACAATAGGATAAATGTGACATCGATCGATTTGCGGTATTTTCGTCGGAAATCTTTAAAACATCCTTCCGGTGGCGGATATATCTGTGTAGGTACATGTATAATTGAATGACATTTTCTACGAAAAAAAAAAGAAAAACATTTAATTCTGAGATCAATCAAAAATAAAAGCTAACGAAAAGTTTTGAAGATTTTCTGCGTTATTTCACTTTTTTATTCCGAGATATGCTGCTACAGTTTGTGTGTACAATTTGATACTTAAGGTATCCGATCGATCATACAATAAACTTACAGACAATAGATATTGAAATGAGTGGAGTCGACTGTAAGTATATTTAGAGAAATATACATTTTTTTTGGAAAAATATACAAAGCACTTGAAGTAATTAGCATGTCAACTTCCAAGACTCGATATCGTTTGATGGTCACATAAGATATATTTACTATACAGTAAGCTGGTTTAGTTATCACCCTTTCCTTAAGCTACACCTTTTGTAATTCACTTGTTTAAAGTGGACAGCTCGAAATTTCGAAATTTTGTTATTAAATTGTGATCGATTTATGAATATCAGTCCCGATGTATCGACTTTTTTACACCAGTATCTTCAATTCAGACGTTATCCTGTATATCCAAATTGACATGCTTTCAATGTTAAATTATATTTGCTACATCATGTGATGGCTAATTACATTTATCATTATCATCTCTTTTTTTATTTCAGATGCACTGTAGACAACTTTCTAAGAACAAAACTACATGTTATCTAATAAAATCTATACACTGATCTCCAGATCATGCCATAACCGGTGGCTCGATGTTGATTAAAGATGAAGAAAAGCAAAACATAACAATATGCCATAGGCATGCCTAAAACGACATATGAATAATATACAACACATATAAGATCTCAAATTACAACAAGACGTAGTATCATTATCTCCCTTTTCTTATTTATTGCACAACCATTCTATTTTAAGAAATTTGAATGCATTGAGGTTATGTTTAAGTTATTTATAAATATGAGATAAATAATAAAAATATTTGTTTCAAATCAAT